AAAAGACATGTGACCAGGCACCCCCCAAATCACGGAAATATCATATGTTGAGATTGTAAGCTAGAGCTCATTTGTGTAAGCATGGTCAACTTTCAGTTGTAAGCCCTTCCTGAAATGTTAAACTTTCTTCTATATTATTTCAAAATGTTGAAGCTGCATACACCTACAAATGGGGCTCTTATTGTGTTCTGTAGGATATGCATGTCTGATCTTGGATTTGTAATATAGGATTTCCCGGCGATATTCACGAGTTAAGCATTCGAATTCATTCACTTTGCATTTAAGTTAGCACAGATCGGCTTTGCCATGCCAATTATCATTCAATTTCCCCGTTTTTGTATATATTTTAACAAGGAATTTGGTCGAAGGGATTGATCGATCTGTCATTTAATTTTGAAAATGATCAACTAAAATTCATGTTAGAAATGTCTGGGGGAAATAGATCGATGGCTAAATACTTGGCTAAATAATTAATCATGCTCAAATTGAGTGACTCTAGGCCCTACCCCAGTCACAAATATTGTATCTTTTGTCCATAATGAAATTATGATGAAATTGTGATAAATTTATGATAAAACACAAGATAGGATGCGAAAGCTAATGTGGTTAGATTAGCAAGTGTGCGCTCGTAAAAAAGACGCCTGGCTGGAATGCTCCCCAGGGAGTGGAGAATGTGCATACATTGTGTGCGGGTAAGCCTGAATCCTATGACCGGGGTAATAATATATATATCTGTAAAGCGCTTTGAGAGGGCCTTCGGTCTTGAAAAGCGCTATATAAGAACTAGCTATTATTATTATTATTAAACAACTTCCTTACATGAACATTTACAAACATATTGAGACTATCAAGTCCGTAGTCGTTTTTTGTTAAATGCTGATGAACATCAGATAAATCTAATAATTATAATTGTATAAATGCAAGAAAATAAGATATGATGAAATGCATATGAAAACAAAATATTAAAGAAGAAAAGAATGGGTTCTAGGACAATTACCCCCTGGGCGATCACCCCCCGGAAATTTACCCCCTGGAAAACTACCCCCGAAGGACAATTACCCCCGCAAAATTACCCCCCCCCCCCCGGAGAATAACCCCCCCCCCCCCGAGGACAACTACCCCCCAAGGACAATAACCCCCCGGAAAATTACCCCCCCGGAGAATTACCCCCCGAGGACAACTACCCCCCGAGGACAATTACCCCCCGGAAAATTACCCCCCGGACAACTACCCCCCGAGGACAACTACCCCCCGAGGACAATTACCCCCCGAGGACAACTACCCCCGAGGACAATTACCCCCCGAGGACAACTACCCCCCGTGGACAATCGGGATTCAATAGCAAAAGACGATCTGATACATTGAGAGATGGCTACGAGCCTATAAGACCCCCTTCATGAACCCATATTCGTTCAAATACTAGCACGTTGTCTTCCTCGTTACTAAACATTTCCCTTTAATACATATAAGTTATACAACGGCAGTGCGGCTGCTGATTTCCACGAAGGATGTAAGTTTTAGGTAATTGTCAAGCGCTTCTCAAAATGCATAGAAATACATTTCTCTTGAGCAGCGTTATTTCAACTTTTTGAGTCATGGTACCCTCTTAAGAAATTAAAAGTTTCTCCCAAATCCCAAAGTCTTCACAGACTATCTATTTTGCATGACTCAGGCACTCGCCAAGTGCTATGTTCATGGGTGTCGATCCCGGAGGGGGGGGGGTGGGGGGATGGGGGATATATCCCCCCCCCCAATATTTCAGGTGGGGGGGGGGTGGCCTGTACAATCATCCCCCCAAACAATTCACCATCAAAAAAAGAGAAACATTAATGATGAGAGCCCGATGAGAGTAGTTAATGGTTATTACTCGCAAGATGACCATCAATATACACATTTTGCTATCTCATTTTCATAATACATACGTAAATGAGACATCCGTATATGAGACAAGAATAAATTGAATTGTCGCTCATACGGCTTCATCAGGAATTGATGAATTTATTCAATTTATTCAATCAACAGCATCATAGAAATGCAGTGCGCCAAATGCAAAGCCGCAGCGTTAAAAAGCAACGAGGTAAATGTCAAACGCGAAGCGCAAAAGTGCATCAAAAGAAGTAGAGTGTGAGAGAGAGAGATAATGAGAGACAGAGAGGATACAGGCGCGTAGCCAGGGGGCGGTCGCCCCCCCCCCCCAACAAAAAAAAGAAGAAAGGAAGAGGACGTAGGAAGAAAAAAGATTAAGAGTCGAGAACGGTACAACGAATCGTCATCTTTCTCTTATAATGTAATGAAATGTCAAAGATTCGCGCGGGAGGGGGGGGGGTGGGGAACTGAGTTCAAACAAGGATTAAGAGTCGAGAACGGTACAACGAATCGTCTTCTTTCTCTAATAATTTAATGAAACATCAAAAGAAACTGAATTTAGACAAGGATTAAGAGTCGACAACGGTACAACGAATCGTCTTCTTTCCCTAATAATTTAATGAAACGTCAAAGCTTCTCGCGGGAGGGTGAGGGGGAACTGAATTAAGACAAGGATTAAGAGTCGAGAATGGTACAACGAATCGTCTTCTTTCTTTATCAATTTAAGGAAATGTCAGAGCTTCCGCGCTACGCGCGGAGGAAGGGGAACTTCATTCAAACAAGGATTAAGAGTCGAGAACGGTACAACGAATCGTCTTCTTTCTCTAATAATTTAATGAAACATCAAAGCTTTCGCGCTTCGCGTGGGACGGGGAAACCCCCATCCCTGCAGCCACCCCCTATAGGGAGCGCGCTTGAGAGGATAATAACCCAAGTTGCAAGCCCACATGGGTCCCATATTCTCTGAAATGTTATCTTTATTGAGGGTGACTTGAAAAATGTAATAACTTGTAAGGGAGGGGGTGCAACCTGCCACACGCTTTTACCTCTTGGTTGCTTTGATCCATTGCCGAAAATATTTTGGCACCCATCACCCCCCCCCCCCCCCCCCCCCCAACCACGGATACAAATCGACACCGTTGTGACCAACAATGACGGTCGCATACTACCGGGTACCCATTAAACAACTGGGTGGAGAGTAGCAAGTGCAGGTTAATATCTTGCCAAAGGATATTAGTGCCGGTGTCGTGATTCGAACCCTCGACCTGCGCATATCATACTCCCGCATGACAACATAAATATATAGATAACAGAAATATATAGATAACGTGAAGAAAACCTTAATTTCGGATAAATCTAAAAGTATATCAAGTGTATAAATGCAAGAAAATAAATATGGTGAAATACACATGGAAAAAACAATCTTAAAAAGAAAAAGAATGAACTATAAAAAGTGTGTAATAAACGAGAAGTGTATATTGACCATCAATTTAAGTGCACAAAGTGCTAATTTGAATGCTACAAATGAATTCGAATGCTAAAAGTACACCTTCGCGATGTCAGAAATCGTGTTGCGCCAAATCGAATGACCAAATAGCGAAAGAAGCACATTATTCATAAATTTGAATGAAACATACATAGATTCTAACGAAAACTTCATAGATTTGAAAACTAGAACAAGGAATATAAACCCAAGATATATCTGACAGCACTAAAACCGTCGAATTTGAAGCAAGACAAATTAATTCAAATGACAAACTCGCAAATTTGGCCGGAAAATCCTATATTATTTTGTAAACTCCTCGTTGCTTATACGTCTTTGTATTAATATGGACTCGGAGTCTGCAGTGTAATTACAAAAAGGGTAAAACAGCGGTCAGATATGCAGCGGTACACCGCGGTAGTTTTTGTTTTATGATGACGTGTACTTTGTTGTTGTTGTTGTTGGGTTTATCGGCGCTATCCATCGATTCCGATGATTTCCGCCAGGCTGTGTGTGAGGGCGTCTTACTTTCACTTATGCTGCTCTACGTTTCTGTGATTCTGATACTTGCCCGGTGTGTGAGATAAAGATTTACCTTAACCTTTGTTATTGGCGAAGTGCAAGGTTATGGAGGATTAATGTAATATGCTTATTATTTACATTAGCCTTCGGTGATCCCCAAAGGTACCCAATTATCTAACGGGTGGAGAGTGGCAATTTGGATTAAAGTCCTGCAAAAAGACCTTAATAAGTGCGTCGGTTTCAAAGAGAATAAGTATATTGTCGTTCGACAACAAAGTAAGTAATGGAATTCTATAATACAACTTTTTGTATTAGTTTACTATAAATTATTAGTGTTGACTTCTTCATTATACTTCACTACATGTGCTCAAGCTAAGTGTTTAGTTATTGATAGCCTTATCATGCTATGTGTGTGAAGACAATTAATTGTCTTGTCTTGACTTCTGTTTCCTTAGAATGTGAAATATATCACAGCTTACATCTACAAGCATTCAACAAATGCCTTATTTCAACCAGTCCACCTTTTACTCTTGAGTTTCGAAAAACACAATAAAGCATCATAATTTATTGACAAGAGTATAAATAATTTAGTTGTTAACTGTGTACGTATATTATAACTTATGCACAAGTTTTGTTTGATTATTCCATGAAATGAAGAGTTTAATTCCAAAAGGAGCTAGATCTGTTTTGGTTACCTCAGAGAAAAAAGGATTTGTTTATCACATTTTGTACAGGCGTTTATGGAAAAGTGATATTAGAAGGTGCATTTTTTCACAATTGCTCCCAAAATTTTAGTAAATAATTTTATTGAAAGACGGGTACTTAAGTGAACAAGCCTCTGATATCAATAACTCAATTTTCATCAAAGGTGGATTTACCTCCTTTTGGAATTAAAACTCTTCAAATATACTTTTGTAAATTGGAAGGTATCAAATGAAGATCATTGACATACATTTATCTATACAAAAAAAAAGAGAAAAAGAGAAAGATTACCTGATAACATATCGAGATAGCATAACGCTTCTTCAAGTCGGTATTTCATGAAATATACTTATGTAAATTGGAAGGTATCAATTGAAGATCATTGAAATACATTTATCTAAAAAAAAAAAAAACAATAAAGAAAGATTTATACCTGATACCATTTCGAGGTAGCGTAACGCTTCTTCAAGTCGGGGTTCTCCAAACACTGCATATCATCGACATTCCAGCTGGCGAGCCGATACATACCGGACGCAACAGAGACCACTCGAGATCCTGGACCCGAACTCTTCAAGACGGGCAAGAGATGGAGGACGAGTAAGAAATGTGAGAGATAGTGGATCTGAAAGTGAGGTTTGTATCCGTCTGACGTCAGAGCTGAAGAAATGAATATTAAAGGGAGTGGATCGTCAGTTTCCATGTGCAGAAGGCCATAATTCGCTGACACCAGACTTGGTGGAAATACCATTAATGGGAGTACAAATCTGCACACACCAAACCCGTAGGCCAGTCAAGAATTACCCCCTAATCTCTCGGAGAGCTCGAGAGTCTTCGGGTGAGGGAAAAGCAAAGGTCTAATGGTCATAAAACTGAAGGCTAACTCTGGTGATTGACAACACCTGTTATTGGGTAAACAACCGAACTGACTTCTATGTGTCTTCGAAATGACGATGAGTTCAGTGCAAATTGTACTTGTTTACTCTTTGTAATGTGCTTTTAAATTGTCGTTTCGTGTTGTTTTTTGTTTGTATTATATATATGCTGTTTCATTATGACGATTGCAAGAGGAATCACCTTTGTGTTGGGGGGGGGGGGGCAATAAACTGCAGAAAACTTTTTACACTCTTATAAAATACTAGTAGTTTTAAATATCGAAATATTGACCTTTGATTCCAAGCCTATTCATTTCATATTGTAGAAGTTTAAAAAATGATGTAGTTATATATTTCATTAGGTTTTCATAATTAATCCGCTTGAATAGGTTAAGCAATGCTACCTACAGCAAGACAGCTCGCAGAATTGTGAGGAATTTCAATGTTGTTTTACCCTTGGGACCACAGAAGATACCAGCGTTGCACACAAGAACATGGAGAGGAAGACCTTTACTCTTATATGCTTCTATGAAGGTCATTGTACTTTCTAATGAGGCAAGGTCAAGGGTCATGAATTCAACGTGGAGGTCATCGACCTGTGAAATGGGAGTAAAGAAAAGTATGTAAGACGCCCTCTGGGGGCATTGACCTGCTAGATTCAGACAAGCAGATTATAGAATAGGCCTAGTAATATCAAGTGTTATTGTATCTTAAGATTTTGCAGAAAGATTATTTTTAACCAGATTTAAAAACGGCCACCAGGTTTTACAATTTGAGGATGGATTTATTTTTTATTTTGTATAGAGCACACACTCTACCCCATCCCCTGCCCCCTTAGCGACAACCATGTCAAATCTACTTTTATCCCATATCCATATAAGGAGATGTGAGTTGGTCTAGCGGCACGTTCATTCGGTCAGCTCTTTGTCTTCGCCTACAAAGTGACTCAGGGGACCCTGGTTCGAAACCGAGTCACGTCTTTCACGTTGGTGACACTAGGGACTTTTAAATTTACACGACGAGAGCGTGGACTGCTGCGTTTGACATTGTGTTAAGGCACTGGGCCGTACCCGGCAGTGCCTTAAAATGACGTCACATTACCTAAAAAGGATGTCACACGTGGCGGTCCACGTTCTCGTTGTGTAAATCTAAAAGGTCCTCAGACGTAAATAATCAAATCTGGGACCCGTTTCACAAAGCCTTTTTTCAATGACAAATGACAAAAATCAGTGACAAATCTGCTGATAACCAATTAGAAGCAAGGATTTCTGTAGCTTATATCAAAAACTGTAATTTGTTACTGATGACAAGTTTTGTGAAACACCCCTCTGATTGACACACGTCTGTAAAAACCCAATCACATATCCACATATACTTGCCTTTATTTGTACTTTCTGCTTCGTAGAATCAGATTTTTCTTCTTCGTGTTCTCTCTTCATTCTACCGATGGCCTAAAATGCATTTTTTGTAAAGAATTATATAAGAGTCATCTGATGGAAAGAAATTGAGAATTGAATAGTTGAAACAAATCAGTAATTTTTTTTAATTATCTAACAGTCGAAAGTGATTCTCGTTCTATATATATTTTACTCAAAACCTACTACTACTAGTAGCAGTAGTAGTAGCAGTTGTTGTAATAGTATAGTAGTAGTAGCAGTTGTCGTAATAGCATTATTAGTAGGAGCAGAAGTAGGAATAGTAATGGTAATTAGTAGTAGAAGGAGCAACAGTGGTAGCAGTAGTAGTAGTCGTCGCAGTAATAGTACATAAGGAAACGTTTGCTTGGATTTGTTTCATAAAAGAAGTTGACCACAAACTAACTCCTACATAGTGTTGAGTCAATGACCACTGGGTTCATCGGGCAGGTAGTTCCATTCGGACGCTGAAGGTTGTCGGTCAAGCGCTTATGTTTCCTTTATTCCGACAACAATATACAACCAATCAAAACAAGTTTGATACCAGAAGAAAGCTAACGATTAGTATTTCCATTAGCCGCTCACCAAGCGCGAATCCAGGGGAGGGGGGCAACAGGCCTGCCCCCCCCCCGAACCCCAAATAAAAAGAGAAAAAAGACGGGCCCTTCCCCTGCCAAAAAAAATTTAAAAAAAGATGTTGAGCACCTTTTTTGTCTCAAGGGGGGGGGGGGGGGGGTGTTTTTTGTTAAGTGCTCACTACGACCCCCCCCCCCTCCCCCCTACTCCCCACCGAGCGAAATATCGGCCCGCGCGATTTTATAATTTCCGGATACTCCCGGGCACCCCAATGCTGGAAAGAAACGCACTCTTTTATATAGAAAACCTCACGTTTTCATGCCAAAATGCTCATTTGTCCTATGCACGCAAGTCAGATTGAGCAGATGATACAACGTTTCGATATGTAGTTTCTGTATTAGTAATAAGTAGTAGTAGTAGATAGTAGTAGTAGTAGTAGTAGTAGTAGTTGCTGTATCAGTTTCTTCAGAAGTAAGTAGTAGTACAGCTGTAGTAATATTAGTAGTAGTAGTAGTGGTAGTGGTAGTGGTAGTAGTAGTTTATGTATATGGTAGTAAGTAGTATTAGTAGAAGTAGCAGCAGCAGTAGTAGTTTCTGTAGTAGCAGTAGTAGTAGTAAATAGCAGTAGCTGTCGTTTTAGTAGCATACTAGCAGTAGAAGAAGAAGTAGTAGTAGTAGTAGTAGTAGTAGTAGAAGAGGTAGTACGATCGTTGTTCTTATTATCACTATTATCATCGTTATCATCACTCTTTAAAAGTTATTTCACACAGTATACACCTCAAATTATAGCATAATATTCGTGATTATGATAACTGTAATTGTGATAATTTCTCACCTGATTGGCTTTAGATTCAGATCGGCACGCTAGAATGACCTTTGACCCCACCTGGGCCAGTGTTTTTGCTGTCTCATATCCAATGCCTGATGAAGCGTATAAACAAAGGGTTCACATATTATTGACCTTTCATTCGCCATCAGTGCCAGTTGGCACGGTTGTTCGTTTGCCACACGTGCAGATTGGCTGAAAAGAAGTAGGCATCAACATTGATGGAAAGATCCCTTTTAGTAACACAAGTTCTTTTATTACTAAATGATCTGTATTACCTCCATGACAACTCGTTAAACGCAAGTATAGATTAATCTTGCACTGGAAAGAATTGTATTTTAATCCTGAAGTCTTTGATACATCTTTCCCGAGATAAATTTTTGAAGATTCAAGATTCATTTATTGGTCCATGCATGCCAACATTACATAGAAATTTTGCTTCCAATGGCTTTTTTGACAATAAAAATGCAAATGATAGAAAATGCAATATAACATTTAACATTATGATTGCAGGGCCCTCAGGGAGAACAGTATAAATACCGATGAGGCTACCCTGGGTAAACAAGACATATTATTACTGTTATTATAAATATGGATAATTATTTATAATCTGCATGTGCCCCTCAATTTTATATTGTCTACAATTACCATACGTCATAAATTACCATTGTCTCAAAAAGACGAGTACGGGGATACAATGTGACACAGAGAGATGAAGTTTGTATCATGTGCAGATTGAATGAACTAATACAATATTAGATACCCCTTAATTGACTTCTTGTGTTCAACGGCTCCAAGATCTTGGAACCGTTGAACACAAGGAGTCAATTGGATATCGTCATTATCATCTGCGCTCATGACGTGTGTGGAATTCATGAACGCCTGGACATCCCGTACCCTCTATCTAATCAGTAGTCTTATACATTCAAATCATTTAAAAGATCATCTTATGCGCGTTTTCAATACCATGCTGGATGTGTTATATGAAGTTCGGATTATGGATTGCGTCAATGCGATCAAAAGCTGATGCCAAACCCTACTGAGCTTTCCTAAGGTTGATTTCGTGAAAGTCTTTATGTTCTGGGACCCGTTTCATAAAGCCTTTTTTCAATGACAAAGGACAACAATCAGTGACAAATCTGCTGATAACCAATCAGAAGCAAGCATTTCAGTAGCTTATAACAAAGACTATCATTTGTCACTGATGACAAGGTGATATGAAATAATTCATATCGGAGTCAATATCAATTAAAACCTTCCTTCAAGCGAAGGGTTCAGTGGTTCCAGATTCTGGGGAATAATCTAAAACTACGTTGATGAGCATTACCATAGAAGTAGAAGTACGTTGAAAGTAATGATTGTTCAAGGCAGGGTATTCTACTGACACTACGTCAGAGTTACATATAACTGTCATCTGCTGCTCACAATGTTCCGATGTGTGTACAGCCATGTCCCATCATGCATCACCAACTAATGACGCACGCGTGATGATGCTGGGGTACAGGAACCGGAAATCGCTCTGTGTACGCATTCATCGAACGATTCCGCAATTGAAAATACATTACAGCAGTGGTAGCGATGTCGGTAAAATACCCTGCATCCAAATGGCATTATACTTTATAAGATGATGACGTGGATCCTAATCAAATGATTAGTTGAAAGCGTACACGTGACCAGGTATTTATTTTGCCTAACGCGTAATTGAGATAATGACAGGTCATTATCCAATGGTAATGACCGATCATTATCGAAATCCTGTAAAAAAAACATCATTTTGTAAAACAAATAAAACATAATCTTATCAAAAAATAACACGCATCATTTTTTCGGGCATTAGTAAAATTACCGAAAACTCGGTACCTTCAAAACAGTCCAAACACCCTCTGCTATCGCCTCTGGCGTGTTAGACTGTTCCAAAGGTACCTCGTGTGGGTAATTCTTACTAATGCCTTCACTGCTGTGTATTATATGCATTCTGTTACCTGTGTTTGCGCCTGTCACTACGACCACCTTGCCATCGAGATCGACCTCTGGAAGACTCGGTTGACTAGGCTGTGACCCCATGCTGACCTTTGACACAATGGTCGTGGTATGAAGAAGAAGCTATCCAAAAATATGATAATAATACAAAATTCAACGATATATTTCAATTTTGAATAGATATATATGTTCATACATGTTGCTATGTTATGTTATGTTATGTTTACATGTTGATATGATATCTTAATAGCTTGGTGAATACTTAAAAAGCGCTTCAGTCATACAAATAAAAAAAAAATACGGTAAGGTCTGTCCCTAATTAAATCACACTTTCATTATGTTGGAAAAAGAATAGATAGTTTACTATCACTGTTACGATCGATACAGTACCGAAATGTTACGTCATATTCGCTTGTCGTCCAAGTTACTGGTTGTAAACAAAAGCCAGCGCATGAGGTTCACCGCGAAGTCTTTCAAGCAACGGTTGGAGCAGGACATATTCAGTGTTTGGGACTGATGTGATTACCACACCATAGTTAGCACATAACTATTTGGAAACACAGCAATCTTGAAAACTTGGCCAGTATGACGTCACACGTCGTTACTCTATACCAAAACCTTGAAGAGGTGCATACATAAAAGTAGGGTGCTTTAGCAACGCGACGGAAGGCAAAGACGACGGGAGAAATCACTCAACCGAGATCGTCCTGTACTATGATCCCGTCTTCATTTGTAACCTGTACATAGAGTGCTTTTGCAAACATGACGGCAGGCAAAGACGAGGGTAACCGAGCAAAATAATCAATCTGCGCATGTGCAAACCAGAATTTTCTCCGTCTTGTTGATTTTCACGACCGTTCTCAGCCATAATAGCGTTCGTTCCCTGAACTCGATGGAACAGTTGTATCGCCGTACAATAGACCATTTTCGTAATGCAACCAAATTTAATCCATAAGTCTGTGTGAAGTGCCTCAATAAAAATTATTTCATTCACCTGATAAGAATGATAGTATTTCAATAGACAGAATCCGAACTGCATACATTAATTGATCTCGGTTGAGTGAATTCTCCCGTCCTCTTTGCCTTCCGTCGCGTTGCTAAAGCGCCCTAGTGTACATGTACCGTGGTGCGAAGGCAGCGTTGATAAGGTTACACAAATAGTAAATGAAAATGCTTATAGCTTCGGTAGAATTAATGAATAAGAATCATTTATGAGTGCATGGAGAATAGCTAAAGTTCTTAAATGTGCATTTACAATTATTATACAAACAAAATTGGATGTATGGTGGTGTATTTGGAGGACAATGTACAAACTTGGATGGGGTTGAGGAAATTTTGGCCCGTGAAAAGAGACAACTAAGATTTAAGAAATACAAATGAACTTATACGTAGGATTGTGGCACATAGCAGCATATATTACGAATTAATTAGATACACAATTATTATTAACACATTAAGTAGTACAATGATAAATATATTGATTTTGATTGGCACAACACTTAACACATGAATTAGAATTATAATTAACATACTAATTACTACAATAAGTAGCACATTAATTTTGATTAGCGACATAAGTTAACCTATATACTGTAAAAACCAAAATGAATAACACAGAACAAAATAAATGACATTCACCTCTGAGTTTGATGTCGATGCGTTGTTTTCCTTTCTTCTCACCTTGTAGAGACATATATTCATCCAATCGATGCTATTAACATTTGATCTGTAGAATACGAGTGAACACGTACCCGTTTCGGAATCCTATCATGCACAAAAGGCAGAGGCCGTTTGAAACCGTCAAAAGTTAATTTCTTGGACTTCCCATTGAAACGTGTGTTATAGAATTAACACGTGTTTCTATGGGATGTCCATGAACTCTAGTAATACGGTGAGATCGCAAAAAGACCAAGGAGGTTTTAGAGATGGAGACCCAACTGCCAACAAGTATTCCAAGCAGCTGCCTTTTTCTATGGTTGCACAATAGAATCTACTGGTGTGCTGTTACCTTTGATGACCGAGGTTCGAAGCCGCCAATATCATTGGAAAGCTTGGGTAGTGATTTTTGTCACAAATAAATATCCTTAATATTTCACTTTTTATTTGAAATAACAAGGGGAGAATCGAACAGATGATAAAATATGAATACAAAAGCCTAATTGCGTCAAGTAATTTGCTTACATTGTATGATAGCAGCTTTAATGTTTGAAAAATAGTAAAAAATTCACAGTAGTAAAACCTGCAATTTGACACTTTTCCGATTACTGGCGGCTCACGAAAATAAAAAGTGAATATGTTCATGTACAGTTCTTTATGATGTTATATATCAGATTAGTGCCCACATATGCCCAGTCGAGTAATTTTGGTTAATATTTCGGAAAAATTTGCTCCATTTCCTTTCGCTTGCCTCCTGTAAAGGTAAGCATGTGTACTGCTCGTGTTATTAGACGAGTGGTAGCGAAAAGTAATTATCATTACAAAAGAATATTTCCCTTTGAAAGTGGCCCGTCAGTTCGCAGCTAGGCAGAAATCTTTTGTCTACGTATCTGCAAGGAAGATCCAGTTAAGCACATGCCTGGCATATTTTCTCCTGGCGGCATCGAAGATGGTACAAAGAGAATAAGCTAGATAGAAATCCATCTCTTAAAACTTCTTGATATGACTACGTGTTTATGATTTGTCACACAAAGGCGAAGGGGCGCAGCCACAGAAATTGAAAGAGCAAGGCAATAATAACTATTCATCTCTATGCTCTGTTGATTAAATGACCTATGCCGAATACTTTACTAGAAACCATATAAACCTAAATACAGGCCTATTCTTTCAAAACAATGATAATACAGTGGAAATTTGTTATAACGAGGTCTTGCGGGTCAAGGAAATTACCTTGTTACATCAGGGTTAAACAAAAACAGAATATAAAGAGATGGGACCAGCAAACTCTCCTAGTGAGTACAAATACCCCGTTAGATCAGAGCTCTTTATACTGAGGTTCCACTGTAATAATTTGGTTTACCCAGGGAAGCCTCATCGGCATCAGTGCTATTCGTCTTGAGGGCCCTACAAATATTATTACCCTAGCAATTTCCAGATACCCATTTACACCTGGGTGGTAAGTGGCAGATGTGGATTGATGTCTTGCCAAAAGACGGTAGTGCCGGGCTGAGATTCGAACCCTCAAACTTTCGAATGAACCGCTATCCACGTCACCCCCATCCCCAAATATATACAAGCATATTGAAAAAGGGGCTTTTTTCTGGATAAGTTGTTTGTGTATACATGTATGTATGTTTGTATGTATATGTATATAGATATATACATATAAACATATTTATATAAAGTCTTAAAATATAAATTCCAAGTTTCAGACGTTTCAGAAGGTCATATATAGTTTTGTATCAATATATAATATCATGTAGATTGATGTCTTGCCAAAAGACGGTAATGCTGGGATGAGATTCAAACCATTATAAAGAGACAATCGACGTCTGTCAAGTTGCCGCGGGTGAAAAGGTCTCCTTCGAGTTCGTAGAATATTCTATATCATGTAAATCATTTCGCTTGCAACTAATTAATATCCATAGACTACCCAATTCCAAATCACATACAGTAACCGTTACATCATTTAACCCCTAACGCAATAGTTTCCAATGAAATGTTTATTCTATCGTGGCCGTATTTATCTCTCCCTATCTATCACTCTTTATATATTTCTATCTCTCTATATCCCTCTGTATCTCTCTTTCTATTTAATCCGCTCTGTCTCTCTCTTTCTATATATATATATATATATATATATATATATAAATAAATATGTCTTTCTCTCTATTTATATCTCTCTCTTTCTCTCTCTCTCTCTCTCTCTCTTCTATTTTTTGTTTGTTTTAATGTTTGTGACCCAATGACCTAGTGGCTAGCTTCAATTCTTTCCTAATCATTCATTCATCCTAAATATTCATTTTGTTATTTTCCATATTGTTGTTGTTTGCTTATTTGTTTGTTTGGTTGGTTGGTTAGTTTTTCTCTTTTTTGTAATTGCACTGGTTTTTACGGTACATTTCTTTTTCATATTTACTCTACAATACTGGAAGTCCTGTGCCGAAAAAACAACAACTTTAGAATGTTTGTTATAGTAATAACGTGAAACACACATACTACATGTCTTTCCCTTTTAACTATATTATTTAATCTCTTTCACACTTTGCTTTTGATGTCACTTTTTACCTCGAATCTCCATCATTTGCGAAGCTTGGGACTGTAACTCTTATCCTGCCACAGTGATAATCCCCATTTTTCCAAGCCACAAATTCCCCCCAGTGCCAAGTTTATTTTGAGATAATCGGGTTAACGCGATGGTACTATCAATAGCGCGTGCGAAACACTAGGCACAGTACACTGGGCATGAACAATAACTGCTATTACGAATGCTTGCAAACATGCAAGAAGCAGCGAAGCGGTACCGGTAGCTTGCTCGCGTGTACAATGCCCTCTAACGATAGCGTGCATGCAAGCTTATGGCAGGATATGAGTTAATATTCATTGAAATTTGTATCTGTCTTGACCAACCTTTTCAATCCCTGATCAATCCATGTGCATGCTTAATGAACATGAAAGGGCAATCCATCCCTTCTAATAACTCCATTAGTGTGAACGCAGAAGAATAAGATCAATAGAATGGCGAAAGTTTGAAATAAAACGGACCAATAATAAGAAAGTTATGAATGTTTGAAACGTGAGATCAATAAGTATATGCGAATCTCAAATTGACAGTTTGGTCAGTAGACTATGAAATAGTCGCGTATATCTCTCCCGCTTGTCGTTTGTCGTATCAAAATATATAATTAATAGGCCTATCTGGTTTTCTCCTAATTTCCTTCTCCTTTGGTGTGATACTCAAAATATATCATCGATGGGGATAATATTATGACTTCACCAAAGAGAAAATTGAAGTTTTACTCATTGTTGTTGATGGAATGAATTGGGAACGTTGTCCGTCACTTCATCCCAAAGGCATTACCGATTCAGCCACTTTGAAGAGCCCATATCAATAGTGATTGTGACTTTCTGAAATTCATAACTTTCTCTCTCTTTTCTCGATTTCATTCAAACTTTCATCAGTCTACTTCTCTGATTGTCCTGCTTTTCTCAAGAGTAGTTTGCTATTATGGTATCAACAATCTTAATTCAAAAGAAAGAAACGATTCCACTATGAGTCGACTCCTCAATTCTCATTTCTCATTTTTACTTTCATCGCGGGTCTTATTTATATATACATGTGTATATATTTACAGAGTGATTGCATATTTACTGAGTAATACTCACAGACTAGAGAAGATCGTTCTCGTTTGAGCCAGACAGTTTGTTATAAAAAGATTTATTATAAAATTGTAACAGATTATTTTTTCCTTCCATATAGCGTCACTTTTGCAAACAATTACAACAACAAAAAAGAAATTATAATTATAATAAAGATGATAATATTGTACATCATAGCGTTTTAGATACAGTTTTTCATTTGCAAATTCATGAACCTTGTAATGCATAATTGTCTTTAATATCAACTGTTTCGAGCAGTTTATCCTCCTGTTCAACAACATACGACATTAATTCGCTGTTCAAAAATAATGTATCATTCTATGAAATGTTGTAATTGTCTTTTATTTGTGGTTTACACAAATAGTAAGATACCTACTCTAGTAATGTGTTAATTAATCACAAATACAATACTAATCTTGATTAAAAAAAAAAAACATTTACATGTATGTATGTATACAATAATTCCAATAACAGAGGAATAACTTTTCTCTACTCTTTTCATGAAATGATTGTGACGATATAGTTTATTTTATATCCCGCATCTTGCAATCTGATTGGTCTATAAAACGAGGTCACATGATCAACGATAGCCTACTATCTCCCTGCGATAGGACTTCTGTACAGTATTTTTGCTGCTGCCCCACTTGCCCGTTGATTAAGCGTAGCAAAGTAGTTTACGCGAAATGTCAATGTCAATGTCAATGTCAAATGGGCGCGCATCCGATCGACTTTATTACATGTATGCATGAAGGTAAACTGTCTGCAGAATCAGTTCTTTTAATTATGTAAAATTCACTTTAACTAGACCTTATTTGCTATTGCCGATGTAGGATATAAAACAAATATTAACCTCCTTTACTCGGGCAATGTATACAAACTATCATTGCCTCGGTGATCTCGGGGCTACCATCATGGCGGTTCGGGATGATAGTAGCCCCGAGATCACCTCGGCGATGACAGTTTGTACCATTACCCTGGTAGTCGATTAATATTTGCTTACTTGATAAATATAATTTATTTCTTCCCGAAATTTGTTGATCAATCTAAAGAGTCTTAGAAATGGATCAAGAGGATATAAAGTTTATCATTCAGGAATAAATCACATTGTCACAATCATTTTCTACTACAGTATACATGTATATATATGTATATATCCGATTAAAACTTCTCTTCTTATCCATTATATATATATATATATATCATAACTCAAATGTATTATTGTGCCCACTTTTACTTTATGGTTATCATTGTTATCATCGTCATTATAACACTTATTAGTTAATATCTACTTCAATATATTCAGGATTCGCACTAGACATGTATATATTATCGGTATATTAACATAAATTACCACGGCGTTTATATCGAACATAATGCACCATTTCACCCTTTATATTTTTATTTATGTTTATTTACACTGTACCTTTATATTTCAATATCATAATATACCATCGATATATCGAGGAGGCATGATGGCTCAGTGGTCAAGCGGTGGTATCGTACCCGCGAGGTCCTTGGTTCGCAACAATTCGATGCGCTATTGCTCTTTGGTAAGACATTAATCCTTGTTACTAAGTCTCTCGGAGACGACTAAAAGCCATCGATTCCCTGGTTACGTAAATTCATAAAAATGCTTTCTTGGCAGTCAGGTGAAGTTATAATAATTGTCTCGGTAGTTCATATAATATAGGGCCGCTTATCGACATTGTTTATCCAGTCACTACAAAGACTTTTAGAGAATTTATTGCACAGGCATTATTTCACCTTTAAACAAATATAAACAATTGTCCAAAGGGTCCAGAGACCCGTTTCACAAAGCCTTTTTGAATGAAAAATTACAAAAATCAGTGACAAATCTACTGATAACCAATCAAAAGCAAGGATTTCAGTAGCTTATAACAACAACTGTCATTTATCACTGATGACAAGTTTTGTGAAATGGGGCCCAGGTGACTTATGTTGATGCGAGTTCCTTCATGACATCCTCCGTGATGTGATCCTTTAGGCATTCCAAAGAATATTTCCACAGAATCTCCTGTTTGTCCTTGTTTCTGAAAAATAAAGGAAATGAATAAAGTCACGGCAGGTGCGGCACACTTTCTTTAAATGTCGTGTTAAAGGTCGATATGTACTTTGATATTGTTTAAGGGCATAACCTAGTATATATATACTGCTGTATAAGTACATTCGTAATCCTTCTTCTACATGTTAATTTATGGTATCATTTTGTACACACTGGCACTAATTCGCAAAGGAGGTTTGTCGACAAACCTTGGTTTTCGTACGTCATATGACGCGTTTTACGCGTTTTTTACAAACCTGGTTTGTAAAGAACAAAAGGAGGTTTGGCGAAACAAAAGGAGGTTTGAGCTCAAACCTTGCTTTGTGAATTCGGGCCTTTGAGTTCACGTGTTGTGGAAATTAATGTCACGCGCGCGGATCGAACCTGGGATCTACTATAGTTCCTTGTGAAGTATAGAATTCAGGATTACGCTTTGAGTTAAGGTCATATCATTTTGTTAAAGAGATATTTGAGTTCTGTTGCAGAGGGCGCTTCACACAAAACAAATTTGTGAGACAATACCAAAAAATGAGTGTCAAATTTGAAAGAACATACAATCAGATATTTTGAGAAAAAAAACGTTGAAAAACGAAATAGCGGAATTTAAGTCGTATTTCAGCCAATGCCGATGTTGGCTTTTTTGTTAGCATTTTTGTGTTGGTTATATTACGCAGAAGCAGCCGGCCCATGTATTGTTATTTTTAATTAAATAATTAATTAATTAATTAATTACGGTCACCGTATTTTTTTTTAAGTGGAGCTGAATTGGTATGATCGTATTGGCTAAATTTCCCACATTTTGGGGTCTAAAAATACCTTTATAGCATTTTTAGGTTTTAAAAGGGCACTAGAAATGTCATAGATAAGAATATGAGCAATAACCATGCACTTTGATGGGATTTTCCGGTGTGAACACAGAACTCAACTATCCCTTTAAGATTTACAAATTGAATTTAGTGCTACAATTATTTTTCAGGTGATTGGTCCCATTTAACGGAAAATTAAAATCTGGAAAATCAATTGACATCAATTTCAAAATATGACCAACATTTATCTGTCTAGAGATCTGGACCAAAACTGCGTTCTACATGAGCAGGAAGTCCAATATACACGTTTCTGTGTTTGTGACTTCTTTTTAGCAAGAATTGGTCAATTTCATATCATTTTAATGATTCGAAAACGTCACAGCAACAAAACGACTATCAATGATCTGTGTAGAGATCTGGACCAAAATTGCGTTCTACATTAACGTGAAGTCCAATATACACATTTCTGTGACTGTGACTTCTTTTTACCAAGAATTAGTCAATTTCATATCATTTTAATGATTCGAAAACGTCACAATCCCACACCGATTCCCATGGACCGTATCAATCAAATGTTTCCAATTGCTTTCATAATGTAATTACATGATGGCAAGTCCAAGGAATTTGATAAATTTTGTCTCTCATACGTCACCAAGTACTGCAGAGTTCTGAACATACAAATGACATCAAAATATGTGTCTTTTCGTTCCATATTTGGACTGATAAAACCTTTAAGTAGGGATATTAACTGGATACACTCATCAGATATATATATATATATATATAGTAAAATCTTAGATGTTTGTGACGTACGGGACAATAGCTTAGACTCGCCCAATATCAGAACTCAGTATTACCTTTAATCTTTTGTTAAAAGCCTATACGGTCAAGGGTCAAAGCAGACGGCTCACTTCAAATCATCGGGTCAGGGGTCGCGTTACCGACCTTTTTTGAAAACCTACCCCTAGTTTATTCACGAAATGTCGGGGGTAATGTTTTTTAATGAAGCCCTCTCATCTACAAATGGTGAGGACCAATTTACAGGACAATTTGTGAAACCCCTGCAATAAATCTACGTAAAGTCGTGTAACGCGACCACCCGACCGGACGCGAAGACCCGACGATGTGAGGTAAGCCATGCAGACGACTATTACCTTGCCATTGAGTTCACGCTCTGTGGCTTTGAGCTGTCAAAGTAGAGGGCAGTCTTCTCATCGTATGCCGGGTTCGCAGCCGCATGGAGAGAAGTCAGTGCTCCGTCAAATGGAGTTCGCAACATTTCTAGATTAGTCACGAAAAAAAAAAAGGTTATTACGATGAAGTTATCAACATGAAAATCAATAACCTGGTCGTTTAAATAGGATATTCGTGAACATAATAATAATAATACATTCCACGTTTATATAGCGCTTAATACAATGTCTCTAAGCGCTTTACATGAATAGGATTATTAAGTTTGTTGGGTTTATCTAAGAACACTGACAAAAGAATTAAAAAGTACTCTTTCCTGGTTTCTCTAAGAACGCAAAGTGAGTTTTAAATGCGGTATATATGTATTATATTCAATGTTGCTTATGGTAAGTAATAACAATAGGGAAAGCCTAAATTAGATTGCGAAAGGAAATCTGCAGTAATGAATTTACCTCTAGGAATAGAGATGAATGATAAGACGTTTCTTTCCAAAGTATAAATAGAATAAACGTTCAACTATTCAGCTCATGATTTTGCAAATTAAAAACAAAAAAGGTTATCTTCATTTCCCCCCGACACTTACTGCTTCCGGCGCTTAGGAAAAATTTCGTGGACCCCGGTACCTGCTGCCCTTCACGCGTTGCAAGCTCTGTTTTGACGACACCGGGATGCAGCGAAAAAACGTTGACCCCTGACCCTTCTAACCGTTGAGCCAATGAGAACATGTGCATGACCTGTAGGTGTTTGTGTTAGACGTATAGAAATGCAATCAAACACGGGGGTAGAATATTTCATAATGTTCGTGGTAATCGTTGTTACGAATATAATGAAGACATTTTAAGAAATAAATATATTCATATTTACGAATGCCATTATGCTTATTTACGAAGTCATTTATGCATATTTACGAATGTCTTTATGCATATTTACGAAGTCATTTATGCATATTTACGAATGTCTTTATGCATATTTACGAAGTCATGTATGCATATTTACGAATATACGTATGCATATTTACGATAGCATGTCTTTATGCATATTTACGAATGTCTTTGTGCATATTTACGAATGTCTTTATGCATATTTACGAATACATTAATGCATATTTATGAATGTCTTTATGCATATTTACGAATGTCTTTGTGCATATTTACGAATGCCATTATGCATATTTACGAATGTCTTTATGCATATTTACGAATACATTAATGCATATTTATGAATGTCTTTATGCATATTTACGAATGTCTTTGTGCATATTTACGAATGCCATTATGCATATTTACGAATGTCTTTATGCATATTTACGAATACATTAATGCATATTTACGAATGTCTTTGTGCATATTTACGAACACACTTTATGCATATTTACGAATAAATTTAAGCATATTTACGAATACAAATTATGCATATTTACGATTAAATTTATTTTGAGCAAGCATATTGCTACCCGTGTCTAACATATTTTATTTAGGTATCGGAGGTACCATGTACTGAAGGTAGCAAATTAGTACATCACGCAGGAGACATTGTTTTCATATCATGGGGTGGTATTCTCGAAAGCGGACTTTAGTCCATGGTTTAATCCACCGACTAAGTATGGAATGCCAAGTGTCCATTTAAATATATTTTTGAATAATTTAATATGTCCATAAATTAATATGATAACATAATTATATCACAGTTATATTGTTGTTTATTAATTATGTTATTACATTTTATCTTAATTCAGTGACAGATTAAATTATTCAAAAACATATTCATAAGGACACTTGGCATTCCGTACTAAGTCGTTGGATTAAACCATGGACTAAAGTTGTTCCTATTTCGAATATACCACCCATTATGATCTACTCCTTCTTGTATTATATACAGCTACACCCACAACAAAAAGTGAGTCATTTGACACATTTAAGCATAATTTTCGTGAGTCAGGTGTAAATTGACTCATTAGTAACAACCAATGAGTCTCTATTGACTCATTTATATTTCACCAGTGTGTCAATCATGAGCTGACGCATTTGCAAAATGCTTCGACTGACTCACATGGTCGTAAAAAATGAGTCAAGATCGACATAAGAGCATTTTAGAAAAAAAAAGTGAGTCAACTTGAAAGTGAGGCTGTATGCATGCGCGCGCATGCTTTCGTGACGTCATCCAAAATGCGCATTCTCGAGCCATATTTGAATTCCCGATCGACGACGTGACGTCGCCATCTTATATCTTGGATTCAGAAGAGTTTTGACTGCAGCTAGTGAAAAATTGGTACGCATAATTATTCATATGGTTTTAAACGATGATTTTTATGACTGGATTCGTGGGCTGAATCTTCTGATTATTATACAAATGATGCATGCGTTCATTTTACGATATCCGCACTCGAGTTGATGAGGCTGTGTGTAACTTAACTATATATTCTACTGTATCGCACGAAGCCGTGTCGAATGAAAACATGCATGATCTTGCATCATTGTTTTATACAACGAAACTCCTAGATCCTTGTTATTTGATGTAAAACGAATTAATTCAAGATTGTTTCGTGACAGTATGGGTGACAAATAAATCTCAAGTTAAGGCTTAATTTAGTGCGTACAAAGTAGATTTTTCAGATTCGGGTAGCGGGACCACCGATTACATCGCTAAAATGTGATATTTTAGGATATATTTTCCATTGCAAATGTGGACAGTGACTCTGGCATGGTATGGTATGTGTGTGATAGGCCTAGGGAGTAGGGGGGTCTATGTCATGATGCACCCACAACAAAAAGTGAGTCACCCTTACTCAAATTGATGAGTCACTGGTTTGTCCGTACAGCGAAACACTTGAAGGATCATGTGAGTCACTATGACTCGATACAAATGAGTCTCTTAGATAAATAAGACTCATTTGTATCGAGTCATAGTGACTCACATGATCCTTCAAGTGTTTCGCTGTACGGACAAACCAGTGACTCATCAATTTGAGTAAGGGTGACTCACTTTTTGTTGTGGGTGTATATGAAGCGAAACAGTACATGTATGACTGAAATGGCTATACCTGATAGCATTTTGAGTTGGAGTATCGTTTTCCTCTGTCATTGTTTGTCAGACACTGCAGATCGCTTGCATTCCAGCCGGCGAAGCGGTACATCAGGGAGGATAGTTTGTTTTCATATTCCCCTACTTTTATTATATACGATAAGGGTTTTACCTGATAGCATTTTGAGTTGGAGTATCGTTTTCCTCTGTCTTTGTTTGTCAGACACTGCAGATCGCTTGCATTCCAGCCGGCGAAGCGGTACATCAGGGAGGATACCGACACGACCCGGGCACCAGGGCCAGAGCTCTTCAGGACGGGTAGGAGATGCAGGATGAGAAGGAAATGAGAAAGGTAGTTGATCTGGAAATGAGGTTCGTATCCATCCGACGTCAGCTCTAAAGAAAAGAGATGAATAATAATAATAATAATAATAATAATAGTATGGGATATTTATATAGCACACATATCCACTCTGCAAGATGCTTTCACAGTACCATGTCGTTGAACTTTTTTATATTTGTATTGTTTAATTTATACTGATAAGTTTGTATATCTTTTGATGTGTTTTTAAAGAGATGTGAAATTAAATTGAATTGAATTGAATTGCTCAAGGCGTTCCCATATTACCCCGGCTCTGCTAGGCAACCGATTGAAGTATTGGTTACAACGAAAGTCGAGTAATGGTCACATAATTGCAGGACTGTCGTGGCCGAGTAGTTTAAGGCGCTTTACTGCATGGAGATGCGAAGATCGAGGGTTCGAATCCCGACACGGCACTAATATCTTTTGGCAAGATATTAACGTACACTTGTTACTCTACACCCAGGTGTTAAATGGGGACCCGGTAGGATGCGACCGTCATTGTTTGTCAAACAGTGTTTGACCGTCAAGTAACGCCTGGCTGGAATGCTTCCCAGGGAGTGGATTGGATCAGTTAGACCCTTCATCAAAGCTCACTTACCTTCAGGGCCCCACATGATGCCCGCGTTGCACACAAGAACATGGAGAGGAAGACCCTTGCTCTTGTAGGCTTCTACGAAGGTCATTGTACTTTGTAGTGACCCGAGGTCAAGGGCCATGAATTCAACGTTGAGGTCATCGACCTATTGTGCAGATTAGACATTTACAAAAATTTAAAATAAGAAGAAAATGTTATTGCTAAATTACGATTATTCCTGCATTATATTATTGTCTTCATGTAACTAATGTTCTTACCTTATTATGATAAAAGACACGATAGTTGAATTTCACCCATTTTCCTCGTCATTTATGTTTTTTCTATTTTTTTTTTTTTGGGGGGGGGGGGGGTGTATATTACATCTAAAATGACAACAACAAGTGTGAATGAGTATAACATTATGGGTTTTCAGAATGACGACTCGTTTTTTTAAATTCTTTTCATCACGCCCCCACGCACACATACCACACCGCCCCCACACACGGATAACGTACCCGCCGACCTTTCACTGCTCCGTATACTTACTTTTATTTGAACTCTCTGCTTTTTCGGATCCGCTTTCTCTTCAGCATGCTCCTTTTTCATTTGTTCAATGGCCTAGAAAATAGAATTTTCAAATATCGAAATTAAGTAGTCACCCGAAGTAAATTCATGACAAATGTGTGTGTATTGGGTTTTTATAGACATGTGTCAATCCGATATGATTATTTACGTCTGGGGACCGACCTACAAACGTCACCATCCGAAAGACGTGACTCAGTTTGGGACCTGCGTCCTCGGATGAATCAGTTTGTAACTTCCGCTTTTAGCTGGATTACAGGCGCACGCCATTCCACCGAGTGATAATGATAATTATTGACAAATGATATATGGATGGATAGATTTTTTCTTGAAAAACACGGTGTATATGTGACCTGGGATTTAATATTGCCAGTCCCTCCGAAGCATGATGGTGTGCTCACCAATTGGCAAATCATGTATTTAGAATACTCATGAATATTTATAGAAGGGATATAATATGAATTATAAGTACGTTTTGTTTTTGGCATTTTAAAATATAAATCGGTTAACATAGGTTTATTGTACATAAAAGTGTGGATATTCATCTTGGCACAAAATTGAAGACATGTTTAAAATCGAAACATGATCGCGATAATCGATTAAACATCAGAAGACTACAGGAAAACATCCCCCCCCCCCCCCCCCGTCCATGGACTGTTGCAAAGAAAAAGAAAAGATGAAAGGGGAAGGAGGAAAGAAGGCCATATGGCTCCGGTTAGTCTCATTTCACAACGCCCCCTATCGTCAGAGCATGATCTATAGCCTATGGACGTTTTTTTTTTAAATCGTTAAAAATTCATTTTTTGTTTAAACGAAAAGTACATCCACCCCGACGTACGTTATCACTAGCTTTTCATTGGAGCCCTCATGTCTCATTGACTTTTGAAAGTTCACCCACCGTAATTTTTCAAAATAGGTTGCAAGCTCGTCATTGCCTATAATACACATGTGAAACAAGTCTAACTTTGGACTCAGTTTACCAAGCGATTTGAAGATTATAGGTCGAGCACACGAAACATAAAAAGCATGAATTATCATAGATCACTTCTGCCTATTTCATTATGTCTATTTCATCCAACCCCCCACCGTAATTTTTCCATTTAGTAAAAGCAAACATTTTGCCGAGTTTAGCAAAAACATGAATATTCATGAACGGTCAGACAATACAGCCTTTATAGTACGTAACGTATAGTGAATGGAATGGGCGATGATCCGTTCAGGAGGTAGAGGTCAGTGGTTTGTGCTGGTAATGTTCACGCGAGCGAAAATGAGACAATCGGAGCAATATGCGGCTTTCGTGAAATGAAAGCGGAAGATCAGGCAACCTTTCGTAGCTTTGCCGTATTGTTTTCACAGAGTGTTGATTGAACCAGACCATTTGTACAGTATAAGAGGGTTTTACTTCGCAAACACTACCCCAAGCATTTCTTGAATAAAGGAGCATGTTTTTACAAAAGGTCGGGTAACGGATCCACCCGACCCATTCTCCATGAGGGCACTGCAATCATATTAGGGACTTTTAGATTCGCACGAAGACAATAGGTCTATGCTACGATCGACGTCCTGTTAATGCACTGCTGTGAATAGACGTCACACGTATCAGCCCACGCAAATCTAAAAGTCCCTATTATTACCCCCGGCTTTACCCGAGCTACAATGAAAAGGTGCTCGAACAATCAAGGTATTTCTTCCTATACCGGGTACCATAAAGAAAAAGTAAGCCCAATCTAAATGGGCCGAAGTGCAGATTATCTTTACGTCTTACCTCAGTTGCTTTAGACTCTGACCGGCATGCTACAATGACCTTTGCCCCTGCTTGAGCCAGTGCTTTGGCCGTCTCATATCCAATCCCTGATAGAATACACATAAAGGTCAATCATTAATTAATTTGTTGATAAATAATACAAAATACCGGCGTATGTAGAAGTGGGTAGTACAATTATTGCTCATCCTGAACTATCATGTGTGTTTATATAATTATATATGTTTATAAAACAAGATGAAAATAATGCTAATAATAATAATGATGATAATAATAATGATGATAATAATAATAATAATAATAATAATAATGATAATGATAATAATAATGATATATTTATAAATGTCATACTTAACAAGGACCTACGGGTGAAAATGTGTTAAAGAAAATATCGTATGAAGGGTCATTATTATGTTTAAATATAATTATACAGTATTCTTATGAAACCGCGTTAACAGTTACTAATCGAGTTGTTTACAGAAATTCCAATCGAAAGAGGTGTGGTTATAATTACAATGAGAATTGTAATTCCAGCCTCACAATAACAATGTGATGACGTATGCAGAACTAGTAATTTTTAAAAAGAATAACGTGGTCAAAAAAAATTGTCGAAAACCAAATGTTTATGTTCACAACGGAACTGTCTTTAATTATGTATGATGCGTATTGTATTATGTTTGGTCCAAAGCCACAACTCCCTCTTTCTGTCATATTAACCTTAATATAATCGATTTCATGTAGATCATGGTATTTCTGAATTTAGCTATGGAAATCGCTTTATATGGAAAATAATCCCCTTGAATAAATATAAAGGTATCTCGTTCGGTTATATTTCGTAAGCTGGAAGGTAAAATTATTAAAATTTAAACACGCTGATGAGAATAAAAATAGAAAAGATGTGTCATTTTCAATCAGTGACGTTCAATTATAATACCTGTATTAGCTCCTGTTACAACGATCGTCTTATCAGCAAGATTGACCTCTGGGAGACTAGGTTGTGACCCCATGATGACCTTTGACATGAAATGTACAATATGGAGGAAAAAAGTGATATTGATTTCAACATGAAAAATAATATGATATTGATGAAAACTTTCAATCTAAAGATATGATCAGCTTCCGAAAAAATGGAAACTTTTGTTAACGGGTAATATTTATCAACCAAAACCACAACAAAGAAATAAATAATGATTGGACCATTTTAGGATATTTCAACGAAGCGGAAGAAGCAGCAATCACATGAGTATGTAAATTTTTTTTTTATCAGTGAAATTTAAGGTAACTTGTAGGGGCGGGGTGACAATATGTCTTACAGAATGACATTATTTTTAGAATCAAATACGTTCAGTTGAAAGAAAATTAGATGAGAACTGTTCATCTCATTCATCATCTTTTATAGATGTAGGCTTACATCGGCTTAATTATGTTTTATTTCAAGATTCCTTTCTCTCTGTCTCCCTCCACCTCTTACTCTCTCTCTCCCTCTCTCTCTCTCTCTCTTTCTCTCCCCATAACTATACGCATATTCAGTCATTATCTTTTCAGTACATGATTTTTTAATGGAAATGGAAAAGGAAAATTACTCCTTGTCTTTATTTCTCTTTTTGTTCTCTTCTTCTATTCTTCTTCTGTCTTTATGTCTAAACATACGTATTGTAAATTTAGAATGGACGAATTCGGAAAAGATAGACGTGAATAGGGACTGTGACAGGCGCGTATGCAGGGGGGGGGGGGGTTAAACCCCCATAAATGCTGGCTTAATTCAAACTTCAGTTGAACTGTTGAACAGTTCAAATTCAATAGAAAATGCTTTAAGTTGAAACACGAATGGGATTGGCCAGCCTCATGCCAAAATTGAAGAAACTAGATATACCCTAAATGAACAGACGAAACGAAATATCTTCATAGATAAAATCGCTTGCCATTGTAACTTAAACTACAGTTACATGAAATATACAGGTATTCATCTACGTACCGATCACTGGCGTACTGATGGGGGAGATCACCCCCCCCCCCTCTCCCTCCCCCACCCCCCCCAAAAAAAAAAACATACAAACGTGGTTAATTTTTCATTCGATACCAGTGATTTGCAAATGTTGCTGGAAATTACATGATTTTCCAGGTTTTTTCTCACTGTTTTGTAAATAATACATTTTTCTTCTTCTGCCCCCCCCCCCCATTCATTACACCACTGGTACCGATATATAAATAGGAACTGAGAACACACATAGATATATGTTTGCTAGCTGGCACACATGTACAGAAACGAGAATATAATTTATACCAATCACTCATCCACTTGTGTGAGGTGTACTCTCTCGCATTCGATCGAACCATTATTGCATGGGAAATCGTACTACAAAGTACAATGGCGACAATGACTCTGCACTTTTTACACATCCGTATATGCTACGTAGAATACTAGCGCTATACTTCATGCAGGCCTATAATATGTTAAAAGAACTCGCAGGACAATCATACTCACGGTCACTAAAATATTACGCACCACTGTTGTTGGTGTTGGTGTTGGTAGTAGTGTTGTCGCTCAGTAGATCAGTTTGACTGTTTACGCCTTTAATCCAGCTCTTGAGTTTAATCAACTGAGTATATGCACCACTTCAGAGACAACACTGTAGAAAGCAGACGACTATAATGTAAGATGTATTGCAGTCCCACCTGTACGCGTTCAGAGGGTGTAGATTCGTTTAACTCGAGGATTTGTATATGCGTCTATGATGCATACTATAATCGCGCTAGATTGTATCGAAATGCAGAATTTCACGGAAATGGCTATAGCTGTAGAACAAATACTTATTTAGACCTCAAAACGAACCGGAAAACCAAAAGCTAACCCACTCATGCAGTCAGCGATACAGAAGTAGGAAAATGACACAGCATTAATAGCCGTGCGTGTATTATCTACCGCGTAAACCATAATATACACCCACGTAGGATTTCAATAGTTGATTGACCCTGCCCATAAACACATAACGGTCCCACTCTTTCTCTCTCTCTCTCTCTCTCTCTTTCTCTCTCTACATCTAGGTGCATTGTTAATATTGATTTCTCTCTGTGTCTCCTTCTCTCTCTCTCTCTCTCTCTCTATTATCCATAGTGCTTAATTGTATCTATCTATATCTATCTTTTTATTCTCTATCTCTCTCACTTGATATGTATACAATATATATATATATACATATATATATATATATGCATTTAAGATAGATAAATATGCGTGTGCGAGTGCATGGGAGTGGGAGTTTGTGTATATTGTCGTTGAAATAGAATTGTTATTAGTACATTTACATATAAGACTTGACTAGCTGCTTTGATTTTAAAAAAATCTCTTGTTTTAAGAAGAACAAAAACTACCCACTCCCTATCCCCCTCTCTCTCTCTTTCACACACACACACACACACGTACACACACACACACACACGCACATTCATACATTATACTCTTTCTCTCTCTCTCTCTCTCTATCCTCTAATTATCATATTAATCTCACACGCACACTTTCTACTTCCCTCCCCTCCTTCTCTTTATCTCTCTCTCTATCTCTCTCTCTCTCTCTTCCTCTCTCTCTCTCTCTCTCTCTCTCTTTCTCCTGTCCATAGGGTCGCCCATCACATACGGGGGAAAGGGTTAGGAACACGTAGAAAAGATATAAAGTAGGTTTATAGCGTAAGTAAAAGGAAAGGAATCGTTTTGGGATTACATAAGTTCAATAACGAAAATGAACTGCATTTTTTTTTAAACTATGAAAATAGAAAGAGAGAGAGAGAGAGTGAGCCATTTTATTTTAATTTTCTTTATGTCCTTTTTCCCTCTTCTTTTCAAATGACATTATACGACATTTAACTTCGTGTCAATACTTCGTTGATGAACATAATTAAGCATATATACCAACGGTAACGATAATTATATTCTGGGTTTATTCATCGCTTAATAAACATCGACGCTGTCTTTAATACAGCGCTTTACAGATATAGTATTGCCCCGGTCTTAAGGATTACAGACGCCATGGAACGTTCCAGACAGGCGCTATTTAAAGGGAAAGTCCACTCCAAAAATAAGTTACTTACAAAAAAAACAGAAAAATAAGACAAACCAATCAAACAATTTGAGCAAAATCAGATAATAAAAAAGGTAAGAATTGTTAATGACATGATCTTTTTAATAAAATCATAGCTTCCTTATATTCGAATTTACTTAATTTTAATTGCTTTGTTTCTCTTGTTTTTCTGCATCTATTGAAAGCAAATACTTTTAAGAGTGGACTTATCCTTTAACAGACGTTGACAACGCTGAGTACTTAAACCATAGTGATTTTCGCATCCTATCAGGTACTAATTTGGCGCCCGGCTGGCAATGTTGTCGCAATACGTTTCCTTGTGTAGTCTATCTTTAGTAAGCCCAGAGAAAATATTACTGGCTGGAAAGAGGATTCGAAACATCAACCCTTGGACTGAGCATCCAGTAAATGAACCACAATGAAGGAACCCATGCAATCAGGGGGGTGTTTCACAAAACGTGTCATTAGTGATAAATGAAAATTTTGTTATAAGCTACTGAAATCCTTGCTTCTGATTGGTTATCAGCAGAGTTGTCACTGATTTGTGTCATTTGTCATTGAAAAAAGGCTTTGTGAAACGCTATCCAGCTCTGAAGAAAAGAGTGTACATAAGCAGAAAGTGCAAAGTTCACTGGAAATAATTTAGTGCATGAAAGTATGGAGCGCCAAAGGGGCCAATATCAACAGTCACAAAAACAAACAAAGATGCATACAAACAAACAAAGAAGCATACAAACAAACAAAGGACAGAGCAAAATAGACAAAGTACCCAGAAGAAAGGACCAATTAACAAAGAATAAATCAAAGGTCAGAGCAAAATAGACAAAGTACAGGTCAGAAGAAACAGAGGGCGTTTTGGTTTACGGTAAGCAAATAGACATCAGGCACGAAAACGAGAAAGGACAAACTCAAAAGGACATCACCTCAGCTACGAAGTGACCCTCAAAGGACAACAGAGGGCGTTTTGGTTTACGGTAAGCAAATAGACATCAAGCACGAAAACGAGAAAGGACAAACTCAAAAGGACGTCAGCTCAGCTACGAAGTGACCCTCAAAGGACAACAGAGGGCGTTTTGGTTTACGGTAAGCAAATAGACATCAAGCACGAAAACGAGAAAGGACAAACTCAAAAGGACATCAGCTCAGCTACGAAGTGACCCTCAAAGGACAACAGAGGGCGTTTTGGTTTACGGTAAGCAAATAGACATCAAGCACGAAAACGAGAAAGGACAAACTCAAAAGGACATCAGCTCAGCTACGAAGTGACCCTCAAAGGACAACAGAGGGCGTCCTCGAGGTTTTTTTCTTTTTAATCTAGGGCCTACTCCAATATAATACGCTGTAGGTCAATACAACAAATATGGGCTTTCATCGAAAGGGTGCGGTGCGGTGCGGCGCGGTGTGGTGTGCTCAACGCACCCATTCGATAAAAGAGGGGGGCCTTTTCTCGAAAGGGTGCGTTGAGAGCGGAGTACCATTTTAACACACCCTTTCGATGAAAGCGGGGGGGAGGGGGGGGGGGGGCTTTTCTCGAAAGGGTGCGTCGACTAGTCTTTCGCATCAGTCGTTTAAAATGAGGATCTCGGACAGAAGGTAATAGTTGCCAATTTAAGTATATCGAAAATGTATTAAGTGAAATGGAATGGTCTTGATTACAGAGTGGTCTCTTTGATGGGGGAGACAGAGAGAAGGAAAAAAGGGAAAGGGAAGATAAAAGGAAAGAAAGAAGAGGAAGAAGAAGAAGAAAAGAGGGAAACGGGGGCGAAAGGCTCTTGCCTCCCCCCCCCCCCCCCCGCCAAAAAATAAATAAGAGAGAAAGAGAGAAGGGAAAGGGAAAGGGAAAGAGAATAAAAAAGGAAAGGAAGAAGAATATGAAGAAAAGAGGGGCTCTTGCCCAGGCGCGGATCCAGGGGGGGGGGCCGAGCGGGCCTTGGCCCCCCCCCCCGCAAAAAAAAAAAAAAAAAAAAAAGAGAGAAGAAAGGAAAAGAAGGGAAAGGGAAAGAGGGGAGAAGGGAAAGAAAAAAGAGGAAGAAAAAAAAAGAAAAGGAGGAAAAAGGAGATCGGGGGGCCGAAAGAGCCTTGCCTCCCAGGCTGTTGACCCCCCCCCCCCCCCATCAACAAAATAAGAGAGAAGGAAGGAAAGGGAAAGAAATGACATAATTTCCGAGATTTTTCCTCACTTTTTAGTAAATACGTTTGTATGTGTTTGTTGGAGAATGACAAATTACTAAATTTACAGCCAGGCAAGAAATATGATTCTTAAGATTCCTACATGTCAGGCCCGAGGTGGGGCGGGGATCGGGAGCCTCGAGCTCCCTCCCCCCCCCCCCCCACTTTTTTGAAAAAGTATATTAAAGAGAAATAAAATAGAATGAGAGCAAGAAAGAAAGAATAGTTAACTGCCAGTGTTAAAAATTAATGATGCATCTAAATATGCTCATCTGACCGTGATTAAATGCCTAAAACTCCTAAGCTCCCGGGGGCTCTGCCCCTGGATTCCACCTAGGACCCTACGGCGGGCCCTTAGATGCTCATCTGACGGTAATTTAATGCCTAAAACCCCTGATTTTTTGGGGCTCCGCCCCCTGGAACCCACGCAAAATAGTGACCTGCCAGAGTCATAAAATAATAAGGTATAAAAAAAAATGCTCATCTGACCTTAATTAAACGCCTAAAACCCCTGAGCTTCCGGGGCCGGCTCAGCCGCCATGACCCCACCAGGGGCCCTAAGGCGGGCCCCTGAATGCTTATCTGACCGCAATTTAATGCCTTAAACCCTGAGTTTGCGGGGTCGGACAAGGTATCAAAATGTGTTTATCTGACCGCAGAGGCGTAGCCAGGGGGGGGGGGGGCGGTACCCCCAAATCATAAGAGGACGTAGGAAGAAAAAGGAGCAGACAAAGAACACCTTTGAAAAAAGGATTAAGAGTATAGAGAACGGTACAGCGAATCGTCTTCTTTCTCTAATAATTTAATGAAACGTCAAAACTTTCGCGTTCGCGGAGGAGGGAGGGGGAAATTCGCCCCTCCCTGCACCGACCCCCCCCCCGCATTACGTCACTGTTGGTCACCATTACGTACCAATATTTGGCTCGCATAATTTCAAATTTGGGCCCCCCCCCCCAAGAAATCCTGGATCCGCGCCTGCTCTTGCCTCCTCCTCCTCCCCCGCCAAAAGATAAGTAAGAGAGAGAAGGGAAAGGGAAAGGGAAAGAGAAGATAAAAGGAAAGAAAGAAGAGGAAAAAGAAGGAAACGGAGGCGAAGGGCTCTTGCCTCCTAGCCCTTCTTCCCCTCCTCCCCCCCCCCCCGCCAAAAAAAATAAATAAGAGAGAGAGAGAAGGGAAAGGGAAAGAGAAGATAAAAGGAAAGAAAGAAGAGGAAGAAGAAGAAAAGAGGGTAACGGGGGCAAAGGGCTCTTGCCTCCTTTCTTTCCTATTCTCCCGCTTTTTTGTTTTTCTCTTTCTTTCTTTTCTTTCTTCTCTTTTCTTTCCTTTCTTTTCTTTTTTTTCTTTTCTTTTCTTTTTTTCTTTTCTTTCCCTTTTACTCTCTTTTTCCCCCTCCCCCTTTTCTCTTTTTCCCGACGGCAGCGCAATTTTACCGACAATATCCTGACAGGTGGGGGGGGGGGGGTGTCGCACCCCCACACCCCCTTTGGAGACGCCCCTGCCTTCGCCACTGTTGGCGACCACAAGGCTATCAATACAAATTAAGACATATTAATGAAGATTCTTTTTTAATGTTGCAGAGAGATAAGTATTTTCTCTATGAACTTGTTTAATGGAAAATAAATAATATTAAAAACATGAATACTATAGCGGTATAATGATGAGAGAGATGATTTAAGTCATACTTTTTTTCAATGTGATTGGAGTGGACTTGAGGGTGGGGGGGGGGGTCCTCCTAAGATCTCGGCCGTTTCACAGCCGATCGCCGCGAAAATGCATATTTATGGTAATTTATGCAAACAAGGTCAGAGAATTCACATTTTTACCCATAAATCATATATAATTCATATTCGAGCGTTCTTTTTCACTTCATATATTCGTTAGAATAATAATACGACAACAAAGTTGGAAGAGCCAGTTTATCCCTATGTTATCTCTTGTTTTGATTATTTGTATTTATGTATTATATTATTTTGTTATTTCATTTCATTTCTAACCACAATTCAACTATTTTTACCCAAAATCAAACAAATTTACTTGAAACAAGACCAAATAACCAATGTTTTCTCTTTTTTTAAAAGAATAAATGGTATTTCCATATGTTTGGTACATAAATCACAAAAATGAGCGATTTTAGATTTTTTTGACATGCAAAAACAAAAGGTCACGTGACTCCGCAATTATACGTCCGATTTTCAACAAAAAAATGTTTCAAAAGATGCGTAAGACTCGAAAGAAAAAAGTCATGAAAGAAAAACTGCCGCGGTTCCGGAGTAGTCGCGAAATTACTAGAAAGCACTAATCTTTTTTGGGGCCCTCAAAAATTTGAAAAATCGTACCCCCCCCCCCTTGAACGCCAGGGGGGGGGGGGTATCTCCCAAAAACGGTAAAAATTAACGTGTTTTTTTTACACGTTTTTTTCACAGGGCGGAGCCCTCAGAAGCTCAGGGGTATTAAACATCAAAATTAACGTCGGATGAGCATAATTTTATACCTTATTTGTGACAGTGGCAGAACACAAATTCTTCTTCCTCTTCCTCTTCTTTCTTTCCTTTTATCTTCTCTTTCCCTCTCCTTCTCCAACATAAGATGCAAGACGGATATATATCGACTCACCTTCTTTCCAAGAACCATAAGGGCCTGGAATTTACTTTCCCCCCCCCCCCCCCAGCATCTTTGCCTGCGACGCAGTCGAAACCTTCAAAGCCGGACTCTTATGGGAAGCCATCCAAGGGGGTAATATAATCATAGTCCCTCCCCACAACTGCAATGTGATGGGACTTAATTCTAAAATGTTCTAGAAGCAACAAACACTCTCTCTCGAACGATAACGTTCTTATTGGTCATCTTTATATCCCTCTTGAGGATCAGGACCAGGATCAGAACAGATTCTCTCTCTCTCTCTTATTTATTTTTTGGCGGGGGGGGGGGAGGGAGGAGGCAAGAGCACTTTGCCCCTGTTTCCCTCTTTTCTTATTCTTTTTCCTCTTCTTTCTTTCCTTTTATATTTTCTTTCCCTTTCCCTTCACTCTCTTTCTCTCTCTTATTTATTTTGTTGGCAGGGGGGGGGGGGGCAAGAGCCCTTCGCCCTTCCCCCGTTTCCCTCTTTCCTTCTTATTCCTCTTCTTACTTTCCTCTTATATTTTCTTTCCCTCTCCCTTCTCTCTCTCTTATTTATTTTTGGCGGGGGGGGGGGAGGGCAAGAGCCCTTCGCCCCCGTTTCCCTCTTTTCTTCTTCTTCTTCCTCTTCTTTCTTTCCTTTTATCTCCTCTTTCCCTTTCCCTTCTCTCTCTCTCTTATTTATTTTGTTGGCAAGAGCCCTTCGCCCCCTTTCCCTCTTTTCTTCTTATGCTTCTTTCTTTCCTTTTATCTTCTCTTTCCTTTTCCCTTTCCCTTCTCTCTCTCTCCTATTTATTTGTTGGCGGGGGGGGGGGGGGAGAGGCAAAAGCCCTTTGCCCCCGTTTACCTCTTTTCTTCTTCTTCTTCTTCTTTCTTTCCTTTTATCATCTTTCCCTTTCCCTTCTCTTTCTCTCTCTCTCTGATTTATTTTTTGGCGGGGGGGGGGGCAAGAGTCCTTCGCCCCCACCTTATTCCCTCTTCTCTTCTTATTCTTCTTTCTTTCCTTTTATCTTCCCTTTCCCTTTTTTCCTTCTCTCTGTCTCCCCCATCAAAGAGACCACTCTGTAATCAAGACCATTCCATTTCACTTAATACATTTTCGATATACTTAAATTGGCAATTATTACCTTCTGTCCGAGATCCTCATTTTAAACGACTGATGCGAAAGACTAGTCGACGCACCCTTTCGAGAAAAGCCCCCCCCCCCCCCCCCCCCCCCCCCTCCCCCCCGCTTTCATCGAAAGGGTGTGTTAAAATGGTACTCCGCTCTCAACGCACCCTTTCGAGAAAAGGCCCCCTCTTTTATCGAATGGGTGCGTTGAGCACACCACACCGCGCCGCACCGCACCGCACCCTTTCGATGAAAGCCCATATTTGTTGTATTGACCTACAGCGTATTATATTGGAGTAGGCCCTAGATTAAAAAGAAAAAAACCTCGAGGACGCCCTCTGTTGTCCTTTGAGGGTCACTTCGTAGCTGAGCTGATGTCCTTTTGAGTTTGTCCTTTCTCGTTTTCGTGCTTGATGTCTATTTGATTACCGTAAACCAAAACGCCCTCTGTTGTCCTTTGAGGGTCACTTCGTAGCTGAGCTGATGTCCTTTTGAGTTTGTCCTTTCTCGTTTTCGTGCTTGATGTCTATTTGCTTACCGTAAACCAAAACGCCCTCTGTTGTCCTTTGAGGGTCACTTCGTAGCTGAGCTGACGTCCTTTTGAGTTTGTCCTTTCTCGTTTTCGTGCTTGATGTCTATTTGCTTACCGTAAACCAAAACGCCCTCTGTTGTCCTTTGAGGGTCACTTCGTAGCTGAGGTGATGTCCTTTTGAGTTTGTCCTTTCTCGTTTTCGTGCCTGATGTCTATTTGCTTACCGTAAACCAAAACGCCCTCTGTTTCTTCTGACCTGTACTTTGTCTATTTTGCTCTGACCTTTGATTTATTCTTTGTTAATTGGTCCTTTCTTCTGGGTACTTTGTCTATTTTGCTCTGTCCTTTGTTTGTTTGTATGCTTCTTTGTTTGTTTGTATGCATCTTTGTTTGTTTTTGTGACTGTTGATATTGGCCCCTTTGGCGCTCCATATGAAAGTACATTAATTCATTCATGAATATAAACAAATATTGCTAAATATATTACTTATTGCGGATGTAGTATCGAAATTAATATTAATTGGCAATAATCATTGACGAAATATCAATTGGAAATAATCATTGAAGTCTCTAAATTGGCAACGCGGTGTGAAATTTACCATCACTATTTTCGTGGACAAATTCACAATAGATGTTTGTACTTTTCATTGTTTAATTTAATATGTATGTTTATTTTCTTAAATAAATTCCGTATAAGTGTTGCCAATTTAGAGGAGGAACCGTTTAATTACTTAGACCTTTAAAACTCGGAGTCTGCATTACACTGTGGATTATATACACATCGTTTAAAGCTAATCTTGAGCTCTGGTGTGGGAATCGTATTTTGAGAGAAAATTTCAATAATTGTTCTGGATTGTGTATCCTTATTGGGCATCACTTTGACTTTTTTTAACCTTAAGGCATCAATCCTCATTACCAAGTCCCTTGGAAGAGGACCTAAAGCTGTCGTCAGTATGGTTGCTTACTTACGAGCATTTGTGCTTTCTCAGCAGTCAGGTAAAAAAATCTCCATCACCAAAAAAAAAAAAAAACACTCCCATTTGCATACCGTGTTAAGGACATGGTGACGGGCCTACTTATCCGGATTTCCTTATTTTTCTAAGCTCAGTACTCATCCACTATACATTTTTTTTACCAAAATCGTTTGGTACATGTCATGTATTTGTGAGCTTGAACATTCAGTGTTAGTTTTGTTGGATTCTGAGATAAATTATTCTATTTACCAGAACTCAAATTTATGTTTAAGCACCAAAATAGAACTACTAATTTGATAAAAAATGACACAATTCTGATAAATAGTACTCTGTGCGCGCACACACTCACTGGTAAACACGTAAATTAACATTGATAAAACCCAAGACATGTCGATTACCCAAGGAAATAAAAGGCACCAGAATCATTAATTTAAAAGATTATCTTTATCACGATTTGGAAAAGAAATGCGTCATCTATTTATGGATCATGGATTAACATTTGTCAAGTTCTGAATAATAATAATGGTGGGTTCTTGTATAGCGCTCATGTCTGTCAAACGTGACACTCCTGGCGCTCCTATCTTAGAACAACTAATGACATGTAACATCTATTCCGTAATAAATGCCAATGAGTTGTGTGAATCCTTTTGCCCATTGTTACATCATTGTGACGTCAGCTCTTTAAGCGTGTCTTCAGTGACGTAATCCTTCAGGCAATCAAGAGAGTACTTCCACAGGAATTCTTGCTTGTCCTTGTTTCTACGTATGGTGATGGTAAAGAGAAAATGATATGCCATGAACTATATACAAACGCCATGAATTATACATTTGTTTAAGAATATTGTTACGTCTTTCGGATGGTGACGTTAAAGGTCGGTCCCAGACGTAAATAATCATATCTGATTGATACACGTCTGTAAAAACCCAATTACACACACACACACACACCAACAAATATATATTGTTAATGCAAAATATCGAAAGCTAAAATATTAGTAAATCACAGTAGAATCTTCTTTTGAAATCCATAATTAAAACATAAACATTTCTTTAGGTCAGAAGGAAACCAATTTCCTCTTCAAATTGGCAACAGCTATTTGTATTTTCTTCTCTGGTCGGCATGGTGTTAACAAAATTGAAAAATGTATTTTAGATGAAACAGTGAAAATTCGACTTACAAAAAATATAATCGAAAACAACAATCTGTACACAAAAATAGTACTTATAAATCTCAAGTAACTTCAATAATCATTTTTTATTAAATCGTTCTTATTCAAGAAAGGCACCATATCATTATTGCAACAGAAACGGGCTCGAATTTTCTAGCGTTAATTTGGCTTTCTGCTCATGCACGATTTGCAATGCAGAACATTCTGCATAGATCGAAAGATAGATCGAAAGATGAAAAATAAATGTCACTACACGACACTAGATAGCTATTGGTATTTGTTTGTTTTTAAGTTCAAGTATTCTGGGCATCGTTTAAAGAGAAGGTTGAGTTCTGGGAAGAGGTGAAAAATATTTTGTGAGCAGTACTCATTCTTATTATGCAAGTGTGGAAGAACATCAGTTAAGACATGTTCCCTGAAAAGCATGGCTCTTCAAATGCCTTCATATTCTAAATATGCATGTAACATCGTAAAAATCGGGGGGGGGGGGGCCGGCTTTTTCACGCCACGTGTTCGTGTAGTCCCATATACATCTTTCTGTGCAAGTGTTTGTAACTTTAGCAAGACTTGGCCACATTTCTTATCATTTTGATGATTCCAGAACCTTGCAATACACACAAATTCTTATATGCTAGATGATCAACCTTTTCTGGTCGGTTCCACACCGTTTCTTTCACAATACAATCGCATGACCAGAACTCGACTTCATCTTTAAAGTTGATACTCTAAGCAAATAAATGTCCCTTAATTTGTTACCTACGGCAAGTATATGTTATTTTTAAGTTTTTCAATTACTTAGTATATCACAAAAAAATTCTGTCTACTCGAAATCCTCAATTGAAATGTCTAAAATATCCGCCTCTCTTTGCATAGAAAATCAGTCACGACGCTGGTCTACTATTTATGACCTCACGTCCGGGAGAGAGTATATTCACGTACCCGGATGTTCCATAGCAAACATGTGCAGAGTGATACGATTTTCTGCATATTTTTGTTTCAAAGGCTGAAAAGTCTAATAAATCATAATTCTACGTACAATTCTTTACCTTCCCCTAGTACTTCATAGTATTAATATCAATTCCCCTTTTAAAAATTATGACATATACATGCCAACGATGTGCTATTAGTCGATATTTTCACCATGTAATTTTTGTTTGGTGTTGAAATCGGCCCAGGCACGGAGTGAACAGTAGCTGTCTACCCATGCACAGTTCATTACCATACACTGCAGCGATCTCCCGATGGTTTCTTCTCCCTTTTTCCCATGTCTTTCGCCTTCCTTGGCCCTGAACATCCTTCATCTACCAATTCTGACACCGGCGGTAGTCAGGAGCAAGTCTTTGTTAGTTGTTTTTCTTAGCTGGCAACGTCACTTTCATTCTCGTGCAATTGCCGATAAACATATAACTAGCGCACGTACGTTCCATCACAAGCAAGCAGCGCCTAGAGCAGCGGCTTGGTCTTACCTCCCGATTCTGCTCGCTCCACGAACGTTCATGCAAGAGCCGCATCACTCGCCAAAATATTATAGAGGAAGCGCGCTTGCATGATCTCGTTCAAGTTATTTTACAACATAAAATGTTTAACTGGTACTGTATCCTTTTTTGAGGCAGTCACACACATCTATGATAAGTACTATCATAGTTCTAGACCTATTCGTTTTACAAAACTGCTCATGTACATCTGATGACAATAATTTATAATGCATCCGCCTATTCATAAGTGCACGATTTAACTTTAATTCCTAAGCAGTAACCTCGTCTTAAATCTCTACCAAATAGGTGAATATGAGGATATAAAAAGAAATCAGCGACTGCAAAATGTTGCTTCGTTATTCTTCATTCAAATGAAAACAGAAAATCCATCAAATATACTCCTTAACAACAACAAATCTAAGCTCTGACAGGATAGCATTTACGTAGGGATATCACTGCCATTCACTCTCACTGAGCCCATGACTCCCGTTCGTGACGTCACGGATAGAGGCCCGACTCTACGTGCACTTCCGGGTTTCAGACTTAGATATTTTGGTAGAGTTTACTCGAATAAATTCCTTATTCTAAACTTGTTTTGTCGGGTGGACACCATTTGGTGTTATTATGGGGGTTAAAAGCTTTCTATTTATGTAATTATCTCAGTATTTGGGATTGTCTTAGAGTATCAGCTTTAACAACGTTAAATCTGATATGCATGGCTCTACGTGTTATCAGTATCTGTGATATGGTGTAATATTGAAGCCGTAAACAGATTGCGCCTAAAAAAAGTATAGATCTTTGAGCGACCGGTTTTTACCATACTCATTTTCCCCTATAGACTATAGTGTAATAAAAGCCGTTGGGAAAACGAATTTTAAATTCCGGTTTCCAATCCTAAATATCAATTATCAGACAGGTGATCGGCTTGAAAAAGTCATGGGGTTCCTGAATGACCTACAGGTTTACAATTATCATTGCAGCATGAGCTAAATCCAGGATTTTGTTTCAGAATCTGAGACAAAGTTACCCAATCCCTTTAACAAACAAGGAGAATTTTATAGTGGAAGCTACAACATAAAACTCACGTGGCTACCGAACTCTTGAGTCTGGTTGGTTTTGTATTCTCGAAATAGAGCGCAGTTTTACCGTCGTATTGCGGGTCGACAGCCGCGTGGATAGTCGTTAAGGCACCGTCAAATGTGTTTCGTGACAACTCTGAAGGTACAAAAAAGAGGGATACAATTTAACAATAATGATAAATGATAACAATAGAAACAGTTATATACCATGTCATAATTACGTTTCTAACTGGTTGACTATCATTACCCCCGCATGAGCCTAGCTACCCAGATATGGCCTTTGACTTTCGAAGATTCGAAGATTTACCAGAGTAGAAATTTAAAACAAATGTCTTGCTAAAGAACATTAGTGTCGAGGTAGGACTCGAACCGCGAACCATGTGATTCACAGTCTAGTGACGTATCCACTAGACCACGACATCTCTAACTAATGTCATATGGTGTAGCAGTCGCGTGCTTACATCATATGACTGGAAATAACAACAGTAATGACGGCATTTATGTCATTACGCAAGCACTTTATCGCCATTGCTCCTCTACACCCAATTAATGATTGGTACACGATATGATGTAAAACTTCAATGTGATTGATTTGATAATAATAATAATAATAATAGCTCGTTCTTATATAGCGCTTTTCAGGACCGGAGGCCCTCACAAAGCGCTTTACAGATAATTATATTATAGCATGTATGCGCCTCTAATATGGCACCTGACTGGAATGCTCCCTAGGGAGCGGAGAGTGTGGCATCATTATCGTCATATATAGGAATATGAAATATATGGAGAATATATATTTGTCTGCCAGCCTATGTATTTTCTGATAAAGAGAAGAACACTGATGAACACATAAATTCGAATTGCCAAAAAAAAAATAAAACAATCGTCATACGATCCGTAAGATTTGTCACAAAGCCTAAGAATATGAATGGTCAGCGCCATTCTTTCCATCTTTTTGAAATACGAATACAGACCTGGGGGTGTTTCCCAAAGATTCAAAGTCGAACTTAACTCTAAGTTGGACTTAAATATTATGGAGAGCCATTTGTAGCCTTAAAATAAAATGTATTCAAAAGTGAAGATTCAACTAATTTAGACTTTTTATAAATTCCACATCAAGAACATGACATCTCCCATGATAATAGAAAATATGAAAGATTTGAATCAATATTTTATGCCTTTTAAAATATCATTTACAAAATATTTTCATGAATGCTAACGGCTTTCCATAATTGTCAAGTCCAACTTTGAGATAAGTTCAACTTAGGATCTTTGTGAAACGGACCCCAGGTCCGAGTTCCTGTCTATCATCTATCCATATATAAACTCACTAATTGGACTCACTTATTGACGCTAGCATGCCGACAACAAATTTCGTGGGTCCAGATATCTGTTGGTTTTCCTTCTTAAAAATATCTGAATCGACAAAACCAGGATGCAATGAAAACACGCCGATTCCAGTTCCTTCCAGCTTCTCTGCTAATGTGAACATCTCCATAATCTAGGTGGAACAACAGAAAATCATGATTTAAATATTTAGAGGTGGTTTAAAGGCCGTCTGTACTAGTTTGGCTAGGAGGGATTAGACCATACAGGAAGGTCACTGACAGGTGGTTATCTCATCAACTCAGCTCTCAATTAATATAAGAAAAAGAGGATCATGGAGGACCAATGATCACCGATAAGGCATTGTTTTCCACATAGAGGGAGCAAGTAGCTACAAGTAGTACAGTGGGCCTTTAAAGAGAAGGTTGAGTTCTGGGAAGAGGTGAAAAATAATTTGTGAGCATTACTCATTCTTATTATGCAAGTGTGGAAGAACATAAGTTAAGACATGTTCCCTGAAAAGCATGGCTCTTCAAATGCCTTCATATTCTAAATATGCATGTAACATCGTAAAAATCGGGGGGCCGGCTTTTTACGCCACGTGTTCGTGTAGTCCCATATACATCTTTCTGTGCAAGTGTTTGTAACTTTACCAAGACTTGGCCACATTTCTTATCATTTTGATGATTCCAGAACCTTGCAATACACACAAATTCTTATATGCTAGATGATCAACCTTTTCTGGTCGGTTCCACAACGTTTCTTTCACAATGCAATCGCATGACCAGAACTTAACTTCATCTTTAAGCACTTGACTTGAAATGAAAAGGTCATAAGTTTGATCCCTGACACGGCATTATTGTCCTTTGGCAAGGCATTAATCTACATTTGCTACTCCATACCCGTGAGATAAATAGGGACCTGGTAGGATGACGAAAAAACTTGTGCTAGTAATTGCCATATGCCTTTCACGGTGACCAAATAGTAGGAATACTCCCCCGGGAATGGAGATGGTGCACATTGTGCTTGAATGAATCCGATGACCGGAGTAATAATATCTGGTATTTCGTATAAAGCACTATTATATCAATCCGGATTATTATCGTCATTACATGCCACGCGAACGGGCCTCCTGTACCACATTGTATGTATCTTGGGATGAATACACCATAATGCTTCAATAAGTTGAACTGTATCTATTGCCAAATGGCTCCTGAGCCACTGGACACCGGTAATTTGCCACATAATGTTTTGCAAATAGCAACTGTGCAGGGAGCTGAAAATGTTAATTCATTGTAAAACAAATACTGTGCTAAAAGTCAAATGCACTGTATACAGAAATGTGTATATGAGGGGCTACACAAACATTTGGCACGAAACTGAGGTCTATAAACTTTGTATGTTACTTATTATTATTGTTATTGTTATTAGTATAACTACTACTACTACTACTACTACTACTACTACTACTAATAATACTACTAATACTACTATAACTACTACTTCAACTGCTATTAGTACTATTACTACTACTTCTACTGCTACTACTACTACTACTATTACTACTACTTCTACTGCTACTACTACTACTACTATCATCATCGTCATCATCATCATTATTTGACATAATTTGTGCTGCTTGAACTTTTATTTAAAGTCCGTCTGTACTACTTTAGCCAGGGGCGATTAGACCTCCCTGCACGGTCACTGACAGGTGGTTATCTCATCAAATCAGCTCTCAATTAACATAATAAAAAGGGGATCATAGGGGACCAACATGCACCGATTAGGCATTGTTTGCTATATAGAGGGCGCAAGTAGCTACAAGTAGTATAGTGGGGCTTTAAACAAACCTGATAAAGCTTGGTGCTTCCATATCTTGTCATTTGGTCTTTGTTATTCGATTGAATATTGTCTTCGTGCCAGCCGACTTGTCGATAAGCCATCGATGAAACCAATACGACCTTTGCATTGCCCCCGGAAGCCTTTAACACCGGAAGTAGATGGAGAGTTAGAAGGAAGTGTGACAGGTAATTCACCTGGAAGTGGATCTCAAAGCCGTCAGCTGTTTGGGCTGTGTGAAATACAAGAACAAGAGAAACCACCTTATACAAAATGAAGACTAGCATCACAATAATTAAAACAATTATGAATATGATCTCAAAGGCTTTCAAACAATCAACATAAGGCAATCTCAATAATCTTGCAATCATGTAATGAAATGCGCGGACATTACAATGATGTATAACGTTAATCCGAATTTGATCTGTTCAAAGCTTTGTCGATCATGTACGTATATATTTATATATGATATGTGTTATATACACACCGTGTGAAGACTAACAATTCAATTCAGATAAGTAGGAGCATTAACAAACCATATCTGCAACTTCATTTATAAACCAGTTGTTATCAATACAAACATATTATATCATTAATTGCAGGTTCATTCATGTATGATTTGCTGCTGTATGGACAAGCTGTAATACCCGATGCATACAATAACGTAGGACTGCGTCAACCACTGGGGCAGTCTTTGACGTAACGTGTTGGAGTAAAATCGTGCAAAGATTAAATATAAATGAGCAATGTCATTATTAGTTTGAACAACTGACGCATGAACTAATCATTGTCTTCACTGGCTGGATTAGCGCGGGTATTGACGCATTCAAATGACGCCTTGTTTGCAAGGGGCATATAAATAACCTACACATCTCTTTCGGTTTTGTGGGTTCATCTTTTATTTACAACACGATAGCAAAGACTGCTGACAAATCATCCAGAGGTAGTTAAGTTAACTTAAATCAGCATTTAGAGGCATGTTTTTTTTTTAATGAATAATAATAATAATAATGAACAATTATAATGCGCCATGTATGTAAAAAAAATGACACTCCTGGCGCAGTTGTGTGAAATTCTGGGCATACAATAAAGGAAGTAAATACATGATAAGTTAAAGTTGAACATACTTCAGGACATAATTTTGCAATAATACAATTACAATAATGTGGCTAAGTTTAAAGTTAATTCGTATAACATGCTGGCATACAGTATCGTGCACATCAGGTAGGGTCAAGGTGAGTGTTATCTAGCTATTGTCATTTATATTAGAAAAATGCCTCGACTACTGGTTAAGTAATGCCAACCGATTTAAGTGGCCTCACCAACACCTATTAACATGTGGTAATATTGCAATCAGATGATGAGAATTAACGTAACAAGGATATTACAATAGGGTAATGAAATTACAGAGAAATTTGCGAATGTTGCAATGACGTTTCACGTCACATAAACGATACAATACAGTGAAGAAGTTGCCGTAGATAAAATTGCGAATATTGCAATGACGAGTATTAACGTAACAAGGACATTACAATAGAGTAAAGAATTTGCGAATATTGCAATGACATGTATTAACGTATTAGGACTTTTCAATACAGTATTGAAATTGAGACGATTTTGCGAAAGTCTATGCGATCGTATTTTACCTTCGCCTCCATAGACAATGCCGGCGTTGCACACTAGGACGTGAAGCGGGAGCCCTTTGGCTTTGAACGCCTCTACGAAGCTCATTGTACTGGCGATTGACGAAAGGTCAAGGGTCATGAACTCGACATCAAGGTCATCGGCCTGTTGAGGGATAGGAAAGACTAATTGTGACGTCACAATGCAAGATTTATACGCGACCGTGATTCGTTATGTGTTATGTAAATTATCTTCATGTTCCAATTAGCATTTCTCACGGGATAGTAACTACGAGGGGATTCAAGATTATATAACTGTTTCAAGTGTAAAATTAGTCTATGAAGGTTGTAGAAGGATTGTCATGTAGTTAAATTAAGACCGGAAATGGATAGTTTAGCAAATCTTTTATATTGCACAAAGTAAATCGATTTCTGTCAATCGATGCCTTTTGTTTTGTGCAAACCGACACTTGGCAAACAAGCGACTGTGCTTATTGGCACTGATGGCAAAGGAAAGGTCGAGTGCTTACATTAATGTCTATACTACCAACGACGGCAGGTTGGAGATGTCATCTGGTATTTGGAAAATAGGCATTTACATCACTTCTCAACACTCTTATATTAAAGAAAAAAAGTATCTTACAACTTGAAGAAACGATTAAAAAATGAATTTTTCAGAAAGGGAGGTATAAATTGTTAAAATCATTATATGGCGACGTACTAATTCAATAGGGCGTGTGCTTCCTGATCCACTCCCCCCCCCCCCCCCCCCCCCCACACCCCCTCCATAGACTATAGACTATACTCGTTGATATTCAGGTGTATTATGAATTATATACCTCACTTAAGTAATCCAGCCATCTGATTGGTCGAAATTGCATTCATAAACTTCAACTGTTCCTGTAAAATTCCCGGTAACCATGCATAAAACATTTAATATTTTTAATAACCATGGTTATTAAAAAAATAGGTCAGCCTCCATGGTTACCCCATAGGTTTACATGTTAAAAAATGGTTTGAGCGATCGAGGATACCGTATGTGTGCGAAGGATTGGTCGGTAATTTCAATACAATTGAATCTCGATCGATCTTACCGACAATTTTATCTTGCATTGTTGACATGAAGACGAAAATAAACTTCCAAAAACAAAAAAAACAACATCTGCCGATAGATCTTGATCTAAGTTCGTTCCAATATGCATTGCAAAAGTAAAAGAAGGGTGCTTTTGCGAAGCATTCATCACGCCGAAGCCGGTTTCAATCCATTTTAATGTATATATTGTACAAAACTGCCAAGCATGTGAACAGCGCGCGATGGCCGAGTGGTGTAAGGCGTTGGTGTCAGATTCTTCACTCATTGTACGCAAGAGTTCGACTCTCACCTTCGACAAAAAAAAAAGTATTTTTTATTTTTTATTTTTTAGTCTATTTTTTTTCGGCATATAAAAGTATTAATGACTGCTTTAATATTCGAGAAATAGTTGTTTTTATACGCTCTCGGGAAGGTTACAATTGGGCTATTCCCCTCGGCACGCCTCGGGTAATAGCACAATTCTAACCTTCCCTTGAGCGTATAAAAACAACTATTTCTCTCAAAGCAGTCATTAATACTATACTATTATACAATGCCTACTAAGATTCTTGCAACCTCATATTCCTGATCACATGACATGCGCTAAAGGTACTGTTGAAAAGCATCATTCTCCAGCCGTGCAATTCATTTTGATCAAACCGCAGCATTTGCAGGCTGACGTCACTAACGCTGCACAACGTATTGTGACGGTAAGTGACTTCACCGTGCAATAGTACAAATGATAGTACATATAGTATGTGTATACTATCATAATGTGGGTGGTTTTAGTTACCTTGATGTGGACCTTTGACTTCTTGGGCTCAGCTTTCTCCTCGCTGTGTTCCTTTTTCATTCTCTCCATGGCCTAGGAGAACATTAGTTCATTCTTTGATTTGATTTGATTTGATTTGATTGATTGATTTCTACATCATATTTTAAACTTAAATATTTTAAACAAACGTAATGTCCATCAGTGTGATATAATTTACGTTTCAAAGTGACTTCTTGGGCTCAGCTTTCTCCTCGCTGTGTTCCTTTTTCATTCTCTCCATGGCCTAGGAGAATACGGGCATCGGAACATTAGTTCATTCTTTGATTTGATTTGATTTGATTTGATTGATTGATTTCTACATCATATTTTAAACATAAATATTTTAAACAAACGTAATGTCCATCAGTGAGATATAATTTACGTTTCAAAGTATAATACATGATACTTAAACTGTATAGAACATAGACAGTACATAGGAGAACAATACTCACTTTACAAAATAACATGATATAGGAGGGATACAGCGTATAAGCATGAAGCTTGAAATGCTTGCAGCCCTCAATTAAACTAAACTATTATTTATTAAACTAAACTTAACTTATTGTTCTAAAACAATGGAAAGAAATTGAGATGTGCCTAATGAAAAACTGTTTCAGATAAACAAGTGGGAGGGTCAGTGATACCGGCGCCTTATAATCGTAGGTTTTACTGACCAAAGAGCTTACACCATTAATATAAACCGATTACTGGATTCAATTACTATTCTCCCCCTTCTCCACTCCCTGGGGAGCATTCCATTCCATTCAAGGCATCTAACAGACGCTCACCATTCTGAACCAATAACAATAACTTTCGCACCTAAACCGGCTACCCGTTTAACATCTGGGTTTATATATCAAATGGGTTTCATGACACATGCTTCGCCGACGATTGCTCCGCCGACATTTACTCCGCAAAACGCGACAGTTGCTCCGCGACAGTTGCTCCGCGACAGTTGCTCCGCCGACAGTTGCTCCGCCGACATTTGCTCCGCCGACATTTGCTCCGCCGACAATTGCTCCGCAAAACGCGACAATTGCTCCGGTGACAAATGCTCCTCGAACGACAGTTGCTCCGCCGACAGTTGCTCCGCCGACAATTGCTCCGCCGACAATTGCCCCGCAAAACGCGACAATTGCTCCGCCGACATTTGCTCCGCTAAAAAAGTGCCCCGTAAAATACAAAGGCTACTACGACAATAATTGTTGCTCCTCCCCAAAAGTATCCCGCAAAAGACAATGCTCCGCCGACAATTAAACTGCTCTCTGATCCAAAAGTGCGGCCTCGTGGAAGACATGAATGCTCCTCTGGCAATTAGTGCAATAAATGCTCAGCCGTTTTTTGCTATTCCCCATAATGTTTGATTTAAAAAAACATCAAGTTTTAGCTCCTTATGCAAGTTCTCCAGGGAAAGATAATTACTCCGCTCAAAATCTGTTTCATTTATTACTCATTAGCCGATCCAAAGCTCAAGGCTATCTCTCTCTCTCTTTCTCTTGCTCTACCTTTTCCTTTTTACACCCTTTACACGATTGCTCCGCCGACATTTACTCTGCAAAACGCGACAATTGCTCCGCGACAGTTGCTCCGCCGACAGTTGCTCCGCCGACATTTGCTCCGCCGACATTTGCTCCGCCGACAATTGCTCCGCAAAACGCGACAATTGCTCCGGTGACAAATGCTCCTCGAACGACAGTTGCTCCGCCGACAGTTGCTCCGCCGACAATTGCTCCGCCGACAATTGCCCCGCAAAACGCGACAATTGCTCCGCCGACATTTGCTCCGCTAAAAAAGTGCCCCGTAAAATACAAAGGCTACTACGACAATAATTGTTGCTCCTCCCCAAAAGTATCCCGCAAAAGACAATGCTCCGCCGACAATTAAACTGCTCTCTGATCCAAAAGTGCGGCCTCGTGGAAGACATGAATGCTCCTCTGGCAATTAGTGCAATAAATGCTCAGCCGTTTTTTGCTATTCCCCATAATGTTTGATTTAAAAAACATCAAGTTTTAGCTCCTTATGCAAGTTCTCCAGGGAAAGATAATTACTCCGCTCAAAATCTGTTTCATTTATTACTCATTAGCCGATCCAAAGCTCAAGGCTATCTCTCTCTCTCTTTCTCTTGCTCTACCTTTTCCTTTTTACACCCTTTTCTCGTCTTCTTAGCTCTTTTCTTTCCTCTCATGCTATTAGTCTTCTTTCATTTTCATCGCTTCTTCTTTTCCTCCCCTCTCGAGTTCTAGTTCTCTCGTGAAATTGTAACGTAATGTAGTACATGTAGTACATTCTTGTTTAGAATAGTATTTTCAATAATATCCAGTCCGTCTTCTATAGGTTTCTTTCCTTCAGTTAAGTGTATGTAGCTTTACTATATATACATTAGTGTGTAAAACACCCCGTCTCATTCAAGTACTTTGTTTTCACTGACTTTAAGGGACTCACGGAACCACCGGAAGAAGAGCAATTGGCTAATATCGTGAAGAACTGACATCAAAGTGCAACAAAATGACTTGTATAAATGGGAATAAGCAAAAAGATCTAATTTTCCCGTCTGAATGGGTTCTCTTCTTTACGTATAAGTGCCCTTCAAAGCTTATTTTGATCCCTCCCCTGTTGCTTTCTAGAACTTCCACGATGACCTAGTACATTGTATCAGGGGCGTCGCTAGACCCTTTTCAGTGGGGAGGGGGGGGGGTGTAGAGGCTAACGATAACCGACAAAACTAGCCACCAATTACCCACGAAATTAAGTGTCTCAATATCTACAAATAACCCTATAAACCCGGGGCCGAAGGCTAAATTGTTTTTCCTATGGACTGTCTATAGTACTTGCGTATGCGCAAATGATCAATTTCCTCGACATAAATATACGAATTATTTTGTCAACTTAGTCAACATCATAGCTATATATTTTAATTCAGGCGCGAAGCTAGGATCTTATTTTAGGGAGAGGCGGTAGTGAGCAAGCTAAACGCACTCGTTAGGGGGTGTCGGTGTTAGGCCTCCCGCGCGAAGCGCGGAAGCTTAGACGTTTCCCTAAAATGATTATGCTAAGTTCACACCGACGCCGAATTGATGGCGAATTAAATCCGCGAGCAAAGCGGCGGCAAAGCGTAACAAAGCTAAATTAAAGCGTAAAGACCGTAATAGAGCGTGAGAAAGCTTTGAGCAATTCGGGACATGCAGCAAGAGCGCCAATTTTTTTAAAAACTGTTTAAAATTTTTAGGCGATCTGTCACGAATTGCGTAAAGCGGGGAGAGCGTATTAAAGCTTATCAAAGCGT